TGGTGCTCACAGCACAGAGGAGCCTGACCTCAATGCAGTCTCAGATGACCTCACAAGGTAGTATGTTTGTCATCTTGGCAAGATTCAATGATAACTAAGTGAATCTTTTCCTAGATAACTCTGCTTTCTGTTATAAAACAGTGTGGGGTTTTCACACAATGCTTTCAAAGTCCATCTTATCACATCTTCCTTTTTATGAATAGCATATGCTGTTAACTTCTTTTCTCTTGAACTCTTGAAGAGATGACCTACTGTGATGTTGTTAGCTAAACTGATCTCTGCACAGTACTCCTCCCTCTTTAAAGGGCTTTGTAACCTGAAAAACACAATGGGAAAAATTCTCCTCCTCATCTCTGAGTAAAATGTTGTTTGATGAAAGTTTTCTTACTCTTAATAATTAAAAATACCAATGTAAAGCCACTTCAAAGAAACTTTGGGTACATTTATTACAGATTAAGGAAACATTGAGCCCTAACTAGTGCATCTCTTCAGAACTAGTGGGGAGCAGTTTTTGAATCAGCTGAGGCTTGCAAATTTCCATGTGTGGCAAAGCACCATATTTAAATGTTATCCCTGGTGTCTAGTATCCTAGGAGAGCCTGCAGTAGGAGGGCCTATTGGTTAAGGCAACAGCAGTAGGCATGGTCTGGCCATTATAGGATAAGTTTAGAGGTATATTCTGTGCAGACCTTGGCAGTGGAGAGGCTTTTTCAGCCACTTGTCATATCTTTTGCTTGGCAGACTAGCTCTGCAAAATGGGTTAGCTGACTGGATGTAAATGTCCCCATTGAAAAACTTTAAAAATCTTCTTCTAAAGAAAATTTTAAGGTGGAGTTAGTTCAATCCTTTGCCTATCTTTGGATCAAAGTACAACCTCTTTGTGTTTATTGACCAAATCAGTTGACCCTTTTTTGGTGCTACCTTCAAATGTTTAAATATTTTCAAAGAATAGGGTGTGGGATTTGCAAACATTCAATTAAGTCCATACATAAGCCTATAGATTAGAAACAGAAAAGAAAACTGAAGAAATTTAAAGAAGGGATTGGTGATCTTTATGAACTGGTTCAGGTATTTAAATTTTTCTTGTTCAGACCAAATGTTGTTATGCTTGGATCCTTTTTCTCTCTGCTGCTTTCATTACACTGAGGATCATAAAGACACACCAACAAACACATGACTAGAATTTAACCCTGTAAAGCAAAACCAGGACTAGGATTCGAAGTGTCCTTTTAGGTGACTTTAAAATGTGGCCTGAGCAACCTTTTACCATTTTGGGGCCTACTTCATTAAATGGCTTCCCTGGGTGATAATGATCTGTTACAAACATCAGTATCTCTTTCCTCTGCTTGCCCTTATAATTGGAGACAGAGATCTTTAGCAATTCTATATAACATATACATAAAACTGCAGAACTGCAACTAAGCTATCAGTAAATTCTTATGCACCATCCCTCTATTTCAGCATGGCTTGTATTCAGCAGAATTATTAATCGTAGGTGTCACTACAAGATAGGGCTATGAATTAGATGCTCACCTCAGAGTTAAAATCCCCCGTTTTCTATGGTCTTGACTTTAAACATGATCTGCAAGCTTCTGATTTATTTTTAGTGTATATGACAAAAAAGAGACTGAAGCTACAATGCAGTTTAATGCTTAAAAATTATTTGATTATCTCATAGCCTTTGTTTGAAGTCTGACTCCTGCAGACATACACCTCCTCCTCTATTCTTTCGTTCAGTAGTTCTTTGTAGATATTAAAACAAAACATAATGCGTGGCCTGCATTTTATAAGCTCTTAAGTCAAGACTGTGTAAGATCTTATTGCAGAGTATAATTCCGTGGAGACCCTTAGCAAGAGTAGCATTGTAGTGGAAAATTTTGCTCTGGTGGAGCACACCATAACCAGGCACTAAGAAGAATCTCCCCCCCCCCCACCGCCCCCCAAAAAATCAGTGTGTCCTGTTGAGGCAGCTCTGTATTTACAGTCAGAGGATTGCACATTCTGTGAATAAAGAAGTGGAGAAAATGACTAGAAATAATTACATATTACTCATTTTTTGTCAGATCTTCTACAACTATTTAATGGTGGTTCCAAAACCCCTTTTAAGTTTGCTGGCTGTGATATTTATAACCTTAGAAGGGAAATGTTTATCTTCCTGGAAATATATTAAATGGATCTATGGTACTTTTTGAATAGGGAATGTAGTTGAATAAGGGTTGCATTTCATATTGTAGTAAAGATTATATGTTTAATTATGGGTAAAAGGTTATCTAATTTGCCTAAACATATCTTGATGTAACCTATGGGTGGACATGATCTAAGGGAGGTTATTTTAAATTAATAAAAGAATTTTTAAATGTAGCCTGTAAATGCAACAACATATAATATAACCACTTTTGGAATAGGGTAGAGAAGTGGTTCGGTTGTAAATTTATAAACAAGTCATTTGCTTCCATGCTTTTGCTCAGGGCCAGCAAGCTTAGAAATGCCTCGGCACCGATGTCTCCATCACTAGCATCTTTCAAACTACCAGGCTGCTGTAACCATTTAACCCCTCGTACTCCTGCTCCTCCCCTACAATTGGCAGCAACCCAAAAGCTTGCACAACATTCATGAAAAATCCATTGGAAATATCCCAATTGCTGAAGAAAATGAAATATAAGTCTTGGTTCACCTCAGTGTATTATTTATACAATTTATATGCCACTCCAATTTAATCTAATGTATTAAGTCATTAGCTACCTAAACTTGCAATAATTTCCACCTTGAAACACCTACTGGAATTCAATTAACAGCTTCTGAGAGATGTGGAACTTGATGGTAACATGAATATGATTGCAAATTACTTATTGCAGATAAAGAGTACAGAATCTTTTCAGTTTAATACAATATCTTGTGTAAATGTTTTAAAAAGACTTTTTGAAGCTTTAGGACGAGTTTGTAAATTTTCTAATCTACAAATTGGCACGAATGGCATATAGATTTTGGAATAGAGAATAAAAATATTTTGCATTTCCCTCAGTATAGAGATCTGATCTCAGAGGAACTCTATGGTCATCCTACCTCTTGCCCATACTCTCAGGCTTCGGGGCTTTTATGATAAGACCCAGAAAGCGATGTGCCCTGAAAAATCACAGATATGCTGGACCCAACCCCTTCCAACCTTAGAAGAATCCCGTATCACTTAATTTGCCTCAGTCGTAAATGTATTTAGATTTTTTTATTTCCCCATTAATCACTTTCCTTTAACATCTGAAGAAGAGATAGTGCAGCAAATGCTGTTTCTCCTTTATTTCTGCCTGGAGCCTGGCAAAACCCTGAGCATCTTAGTGCCCCTAACATATGGAAATAAAATCCATGAATAAACATTAAAGCCACGTTTCCTGTTTTGCCATCTCAGTTGTTCAGAGTCCTGCTTTATGAAACCATTTCTACTTCAGGGAGGTTCAAACACCACATTTTAATCATTCATTCAATTTTGACATATTGGCAAGTAGGATGAAATCCTACCAGTTACCACCTAGATCCCGGGCACTCAACCGGTTTTGTGTTTGAGCCACAAGTTTCTAAATGACTGTCTTAAGGTTCCACCTTTTCTCCCACTCATAACCACATATACCACCTTCCCTCCTACATGTGTAATGTCGCTCTGCCAACTATAGCAATTGCTTGTGTGTGGAAACCATGTTAGCCAAGTAAAGCATTTTTCAATGTCTTCATTGGAATTCCTAAACTGGAAAAAAGGATGAATGCCAGCCTGCTTTTTTTAGACCACCAGAATTACTCCTGGCTCTAGTTCTCATTGGAAATAAATGGTTTACATTAGTGTAACGGTTAGAGTCACAAAAAAGGTCTAGAGAAAACTGTTTGGTTTGAACACTACTATGCAATTTTACTATGTTGAACTTCATACCTGCCTTAGTGTCAAAAATCCTGCATTCATCTTTGAAGAATATGTCTGCAAAATGTCTTAAACTTCAATCATACAAACATTTAAAAAAGCCAGACCAAGTACAGCTTCAATGTATGAAAAACTTACCTGGTTATTTAAAAATTGCTACATATACCGGTAGCATTGAACTTCAGTCTTTTTATAGCAGACTGACACAGATGAGTACCAAAAGGGTGATGTAATCACTAGTTTCAGAAACCTAAATCTGTGTATGTGTATTCATTCAGATAGATCTAATGTTTCTAGCAGGAAGGCAGCTTTTCATGTTTATCTTTGGAAGCACACATGCTATTTGCCGTTCAGTTCATAGCATGTGCGACTTTACACAATGGTTTGCTTCTATTGGTATTTTTCGTGGCCATGCCCGAGACACCATATAATTATTTGTTGAATAGTTATAGTGTATGGGAATAAATTACCTGCCAATATTTTTGTGCTCCTCGAGGGATACTAAGGAACTATGGTCTGAAAGGTCAATTCTAGGCCACAGTGAATATTGCTTGGTAAGAACGAGCACTTTTGTGACCATCTTGAAAAAAAGGGGAAGCGCCTTCAGAAAAATGCCATCTCTGGTTCTAGTCATTACTGCTACTGGTCATTACTGCTACTATTTTGTGATTAATATTCCCATACTCTAAGATAACTATTAGACACCTCAGAATACTTGCAAGATGTTTTTCACAGTGACTTGTCAAATGATTGTGGCATTGACTATTTCCTTATTCAGAAGACAACCACGACATCTGTAAGTTATTATTGAACACCGTAACACTTTGAATTTAAAAATGGGCAACATTTTATACATACATACATACATACATATATATATACAGGCTGATAGAAAGGATATGTGTAAAAATATTAAGCACAATACTGAATATGAAGAAGCAGCACTCAAGTTGTCTTTACGCTTATGTCAGCAAGATGATCTATTTGCCTTCTGCGATGCCAATACTATATCCATTACTATCCATTAGGTGATTGTATTTTCTACAAAAAATATTTAACTTTTGACGCATCTTGCTAAAAGTGTGCCTTTTGGGTTTTAGCTTTATCTTCAGGCCAGAATGAAAGGTGACTGGGCAAGACTTTTGCGTCCTACAGTCCAGTTTGGACTTATTGCTGCATCCATTTATGTGGGCCTCTCCCGTGTTTCTGATTACAAACATCACTGGAGCGACGTGTTGACTGGTCTCATCCAGGGAGCACTGGTAGCAACCCTTATTGTAAGTCTGTAACAATTTTTTGATCATTTCCATTTTCAAATAAGCTAATTTGACTTAAGCCTTTCTGGTTTTTTTTTTTCAACTGAAATAAATCGCAAAGGGGCTTTCATATATTTAAACTGCCAGTTTCATGTGTAATAGGTTCACTGCAATGGGAAAAAGATGACATGAAGTTTTGCATTTCCATTTGCCAATACTGGAGAACAAAGCAGCCTTTTACCAGATTTCACTATCCCACATCGGTTTTTTCCTCCCTACCTGCTCTGTAAATCAATTGTTGGGTGTCAGCCATCACTTCTAGAGAAAGACTTCTAGTTCAAATATACCCAGTGGCTGATGTGTACAGAAGGACGGTTAACAATAATGTAAGTAATGTTCTATCTGCTGACACAATTATTGTGTACCTACAGGTTGTATATGTCTCAGATTTCTTCAAAGAGAGAGGCCGTACATTTAAACAGAAGGAGGAGGAAGATTCACATACAACTCTACATGAGACACCTACCAACGGAAATCACTATGGCAGTAATCACCAGCCATGATATGTTCAAAAGCTATTATCCTGTGGAATCTCCTCCTATTTAACAGGAAAATTTCACAAAATTTCTGGTCTATGTAAAAAAGAAATAAATGCCTTTTGAAGGGATTGCTGCTGCTATACCTCTTAAGTACTCACTTTACATGTATATAGTTAACAACAATGTATTTAAAAACCTCAAATTTCTATTGGTTCAAGCTTATGCTTTTTAACACAGTATCCTGACTATTTTTTAATTAAAATAATATGTAATACTTATTACAAACAGCAGTGGAATACATTCAAAATAAGAATCTGTCTTGCTTGGGAAGAGGAAGCACTGGTAATTTTAGTAGCTCTTTTTTGGAGTAACTGCTGCAGAATGAAGGCTGTTCAGACACCACACATTCTTCTTATAGATAAAGACTTGCAGCAAACACTATGTCTCTCTTGATTTTTGTAATTCCTGTTGAGAATAAAAATATATATATATCCAACGTTAATGACATAATTGTAGTCACATACTACTTACTTGCTCATGATAATAAGATCTAGTAAAACAAAACAAGTCCAGTGCTGACTTTTCAAAATATCTTATTTTCTCCCAATTTCCATGTCAAGATATTGTACAACTATTTTGATTGTTATGGAAACATTAGCAGACTCTTAGATAACCTCTCCCCCTTCAAACTCAGCAACAGATTATAACAGGCATGTTCGGTTCAAACAGAATACTTTGGCTTATGGCCAAGCAATTTTAAACTGCTTGTAAATATATTCTACATTTTAAGATGCACATATTTATATAATATTGTACATACAAACCTTCTGCAAATTTGTTTTCCAGTTCTGTATTTCCAATGGCCTTTGCTGCTTGGCACATCTGTCTAAGCAATTCTTCTAGCCTCCTCATACATCGAATTATGCTACCTGAATGAGAAAATATACAGATAAAAATAGGTAGACAGATATTCATGTTAATCATTTTCTGCAAAGTAATGGGGCCCTTTCTATGAAGTAAATAGAATAGGACTGTTGCTTCTATTATGGTGTTTGTTTGTTTTTTGTGGAGCTGTACGTAAAATCAAGCTCATTCATTCAATTCTCTTTATCTGAAGCAAAGAGAAGGAGTGTAACAAAAAGTTTAAAAATGGCTCTGAAATCCACAGGATTATTTCCTTTATGTACGATGGGCTTTGGCTAACCATCCCTGAAATTCATGCTTAATATGGGGGCTTTGTGGTCTTTGGGGCATCCCAAGACATCCCTCCCTTTCTCATTCTGTGCTTTGGAAAGAAAATACAAGAGATTTCATGTATTATATTTTAGCCTTAGCATATGTCACAAATTTATTGTGAATGCAGATCATTAAAAAAAGAGAACCTATCTCTCCCCTATATGTTTTTATATTCTGCAATGAGACCTGATGAAAAGTATGTCTTGTTTCAAACATTCTGAGAAACTTGTGAGCTTGAACTGTAAAAGTAGCCCGGGTGGATATAGATTAAGGCAGGGGATAGATTTTTTGTTATCAATGAGAATTTGAAGAAATTAGGCCTATAATGAACAATTTCATCAATTTGAAAGATTAAATGTTATTGCTTGATTAAAAATCTAGCAACTCTTTTAAAAAGTCATCTGAAGTCAGTTATCAAAAAGAAACAAATCTGAGTCATAAGAGCTTGGGACACTGACCTCTTCGGTACTTTGAGCAAACTTATTATTTCAAGAAAGAAATAATTCCTGCTGAAAAGATTTGATATGAAAAAACTACAAAGAATATGTTGACATCTAGGGAATCTTCCTTGTGGTCATATCATAGAGCGAGTATTACATCAAATCAGGCGCCAAATGAATTCCATTTGCCAAGATATTCAGTGAGCATGTGCTCTCTGAACCTGCCGCTTGTATTTTCCCTCCAAATTGACAATGTATCACTAAAACTTTGCTTCAATGTACTTTGCTGTGACAGAAAAGTGCCTTTCAGTATTACTACTCATGTTTGGAAGCATTTTTGTTTGCTTATCTGATATCTGGAAATAAATATTTGTAATTTTAATGGGATTTAACCAAAAAAAGTTATGCTGCCATCGTCAGTGCCTTGTTTAGGTTTTACATAATTTTCTACCTTAACAATGGAAATTGCTATTGTGGGCAGCTTAACAGAATTTAATCATCCCACTTTGCCCAGTGTTGAACTTCAACAAATCTAGCCCCTTGTGCAATTCTGGTCTCCCATTTAAAAATCAACAGTTTGCTTACTGGAAAATCTGTTTATCGCATGGGAAACAAAGAAGACACTTTTATATAGCATTTATAAATGCAACTGTTCACAAGATTGCCTGCCTGCTTCACTGCAACCAATAAAATGCATACCTAACAAAAGTAACCTCAGGCCTCTTTTATTTTTCTCCCCGGCATCCTTGTCTCTCAATGAATGGCATAGTGGTGGGTAGAGGATGGACAGAATGGAAGATTTACTTATATCTAATCTCGCTTTTTCCTGATTTATAAAGAGGTTGTAGATGCTAACAATCTCATTATAAGAAACATACTTTTTTCGCTTGGAATAATGATTTAAACAGCTCACAAGATCTTTCGAATTTACAGAAACTTAGGGGTTCCTTAATATTTTAAAGAAATAATTTTATTCTCAAAAATGAAGATGTTATAACTACTCTTGTTTGTGAGTAAAGCAAAGACTCACTACAAAAACAACAACTGTCAACCCGAGAAAAGGGGTCTCAAACAAGCACATGTACAAGAAAGGAAGAAAGCTTCCTATTCTTGGGTTCGGTGCAGTCACACCAAATTTCAATCCACACTCAGAGAACTTCTTTCTAAATCACATTTACTGCTCACAAAAATAAAGGGAACATAAATGTATAGGATCCTATACATTTGTGTTCCCTTTATTTTTGTGAGCAGTATACATAGAATTTGTCCACCACTGTGTTATTACCCTGCAAAGCCCTTTGGATGTCAGTTATTTTTGCAAAGAAATCCTTTGACATTTACTCGGGCTGCAACTGGTTTCAAAGCAACTGTTGTCACAGCAAACAATACGCTCAATATTTGCAGTGATATTAATACTTGGGAAGGGGGTGGGGGAAAGTAAAGAAATACAGTTTTTATACAATCAAAGTTTTAAAAACTAAATGGCCAATAAGGCAATTTGTTTATCTATTCATTCAATTTACATTCTGCTTTTCCAGTGAGCACTTAAACCAATTAACAATTTAAAAAAAAGATTTAAAACCAAATATTAGTCTGCAGTACACACACTTAAGTTCAGTGTAAAAATTTCTAAAGTTGAATGAGGGATGTAGTACATGCAATACCACATATTTTTCACAACTCTCTGATTCAGAACCCTCAAGCAGAAATTTCAATGGAAGACCTGAAAGTTTTTCAACCCCATCATTCTATTTGATTCCTCTATTATTGGCAATTCTCCCTCTTCCCCTCCCCGAAAACTATGGTTTGCTGGGTGTATTCAGGCACAAATGTGATAATACATAGGATTGTTGTGGTTTTTTTTTTTAAAAAAAATACTCATGAAAATTTGTAATGGAATTGAGAAAAAAGAAACTAATTTGGTGTTTTTTAATGTTTGTGAAAGTCAATTTCTTCCTCGTAAAGGAACTGGGAAAAATAGGCAGAATAATTTATCATTTATTAGGACACAATGCCGTGTTGTCTTATCCTTTGTTGGAAATTCTTCCTTTCTTATAATTACCAATGTGAAAAAGATACAGTACAGCCACAACTACTTACAACCTAAGGCATTTGATTCTTTAACTCCAACATCAAAATAAACACATACCTTCGAAGACATCTGTCATTTTACATATATGAGCAAATGTCGCACCATTGGTCCATGTGTATACCACATCCATCAGGTTTGGTCTGAACAAACTGAGATAGTTTTCCTCATCAACTTCCAATTTAGCTTCTGCTGAAACTTTGGCAATTCTTTTTGCACATTCCTTAAAAAGGAAACACCATTTTATTTAAATCAACAAATCAAACACAAAAATAATTATCCTTAAGCCCATATATCAGTCACTGTTTAGTTTCTATTCTTGAAGGAGAGATAAAATTCATGTCTTACAGATTTCTTTTATGTTCTAAATACAGTAATTATTTGAATATAATTACTTTGTTTAAATAGAGCTTCTGCTTCATAGTGGAAAATCTGTATGTTGGCACAACACATTAAAGCAGAGCAAATGATATTCCATGAGGCATCAATCAGACTGTAGATACTATAGTTCCTGTTCCTGCCATGTTCCTTACTCCACTTACATTTTTAAAGCGAAATGCCAATTTCTAGCATTATCTTTATTTTCAGAAATGTTTCTGGATCTCACAGACACTCTTAGAAAATAAAAATGAATTCAAGGAACACATTGTAAGGCATAACATAGGGTATCCTTGCCAATGAATATAACTAAATATATCCACCCAATCCATGTCAGCCATATTATGAGAGCTCTCAACATTTCAAATGTAGAGCACTCCTGGGGTAAATTCTTCCAACCCACGTTATCCAAACATATTCAACATCAAAACAATTTTAAATTACGCTGATAGATTTACAATTAAGTGATATCAAAAGTTCATACTTTAAAACAGAGATTGGACTTCAAAGTTATTATTATTGAAATTGTAATATAATAAGATTGCAAAACAAGAAAATCAGACAAGTTATATAGGCTTCTAAAGTAAACATGCATTTTTCTCATTAAAAATATACTTACCAATTTACATTTAAGATTTCAATCTGAATTATGTAGTATATTTTATTCTAAGCAAAAGCTCCCTGTGTTAGATCAACTTATGCATGGAACGAACTGAAAAACATTTACCTGCATTTGACGAAGAGGGCCTGCTAATTGTTCAGTTAGTTTGGGCATTTCACTTGACTGAAAAAAAAAGAGAACACACCAACAACTCCAATATATTCTACATATTTAAAATTTGTGTAACTAGCATACAAAATCTTAGTGGAATCAAAACCACTTCACAGACTGATTATCACTTTTTAAAATATCTTTATAAAGCTTCTTTGCCAATACTAAATGCAGAATACTGTATGAGCCTCCTGGATTTTTTCCCCAGTAAAATATTATTCCCAGTGTTTTACTACACGTCATTTTGGAACAAAAGGAAAGGCTGACATTACGATTACAACTGTGTAATAGTATCTCTGAAATATGCTCTTTAACCAACATATTCTGTTCTCCTGACTTTGCTTGCAGAACTCTTTTCATATATATTAAGTGGTCAGATCTACAAAGGAATGGCCAGGGCTGTTTGGAGAGCTGAAGAGACTCTCACCAGCCTTTTTTTTCCTGTCATTCCCAATTCCCATCACCGTATTTACTTAAGAAATCTCTAATTTACTCTGTTCATCTGATGAAGTGAGCTTGAGCCATGAAAGTGCCTGTGTTCATTTCTTTGGCATTATAGTGTATGCAAGTTCAATTGGGTGGCTGATTAAAAAAACATCATAAAAATACCATGAAACCAAAATAATAAAAATACATAATAAATCCACATAAGCATAATAAACATAATTATCATGACATCATTCTCATGGGTTATCTACAGGATGACAAGTACATTTCAGTCTCATCTGCAGGATTGAAGTATGATTGCAGTTTATTTAGATATAGCCTTTTATTTCAAAGTCTTCAGAAGCTGAACCCCCGTCCCCCATATTTTTAGTAACCTACTCTAAAAAGAAGGATGGAGTTCAACTGGAAGTTGCCTAAAACATCTGAATCAAGGGAGGGCTTCTTCATCAGGTGCACAGCTGCCTCCTTCAAAATGGCTACTACCTGGCTCTTGAAGCAGCATTAATCATTCAGTATATTATTTTTTTCTCTGGCATCTTCAAAAACGACGTATGGCTTTTATACTACATGATTTATCATGATTTATCACTTATAGCTTTTATGTACAGAGAGATTATGCATTGAAGACAAATTCCTTGTGTGTCCAATCACACTTGGCCAATAAAGAATTCTCTTCTCTTCTCCTCTCCTCTACAGAGGACTCTAATTCATTTCTTTGAACTCCACAGGTTCAAAAGAATCCCATACAACATCATTAGACACTACTGCCATCGTTTGCGTTCAGCTCCGATTGAATTCTCAATGAATTATGTAAACATGTCTGTGCAGTCCTGAAGTAATTCTTCCTGTCATTCCTCAAAGGGGACAAGTTTGCTGAATAACCAATTGCAGGAACAACAAGAGCAGAGAAGGAAGCCCACATATCGCCCCATTGCTACTTCGTGGAAGCTCATGCTCATTTCCTCCTCAATAGTCTAAGCATCTTTTCATGTCCTCAAATTCCTCTGTTTATCATGATATAATAAACCCTTCATTTTTAATTTGTTTTGTTGTAACACATTAGCATAGATACTTCTGTTGAAAAAATAACTTACATTTTCTTGAAATACAAAGCAGCTTAATAAAGCAGTTGCTTGTTCTGCAGATAAATCGTTGAAAAGCCCATTGAACATCATTTCTGTCAGCAAAAGCTCATCTGCACTAGAAGAGATTCAATTAACGGCAGCATTAGTAATTTATATGTTTAAAATGCATATTTAAAAAGTCACTCTGCCATTCTCCCACAACAGATAGAGAAAAAAGACATTTAAGAGTTCAGATGTTATATGTTCGATGTGAGAGCTCTAAGAAATTAATCCAGGAGAAAAGGATTAATGATACAATGTTTTTTAAACTAAAAGTGAACTTGTTTTGTTGGAGATTTAGTTAAAATATCCATATGTGTTTTGACTAAACAAAATAAACAATCTTGGCTTAGGTAAGGGAGATAAGAGCTAGTTTTAGTGTATTAGTAACTGAGTAAGCTTTGGGGAAACTGCTGACTCCAACACTTACTATTGCTGAAGCATTACGGTACATATTGACCTAACTTTTCCAGCGATAGCTTCTACTAATGGAAACAGGTGGGGGCAATTTTCAGTAATTCAACTATTTTTGTAAGCTGCCCAGAATCACTCAGTCATAGAAATCTAATAAATTCACAATTCCTCTTCAGAATAAGTGAAAGATTGCTCATTCTTGCCCTGTTTTACCCCAATCTTATATTAACTTTTATTTATTAATGCCCAGAATATCCCACAGTTCAAAAGATTTTATATTAGGAAAGTATTTGTATTTATATTTGCTGCATAAATTAAGATGGGAATTTAACAGTGGAACCTCCATGACCTGGTTTAGGATAGGGATAAAAAATAATTTTAGAATGAGTTTAGGAATTCTGATGTACAGAGCATACTCAGAAGAACCTGCTCTTTCATATCAGAAAATATTTCTAAAAATTGTTTCAAATGCAGCTTGTTACAGTAATTGGCAAAGGACAGAGGATATGCAGTTTGCTTGAGTAATATAAGTTAAAGCCCTATTGGGCTCACAGAACCCACCGTGCTGTCCTTTAGAACTCTACTATTACTTAACAAACCAAATATATCTTTATGAATATGAGGTTCTTCTAAACAGTACAGTATCATAGAACACCAACACAAAGGAAACAGAGACAAATATTTTCAGAACAACACAACTGTCCATATGTTGATTCTTTTCTCATCATCTTACCTGCTGATTTCACAAGCAACTCGTCCTTTCATCTCTATGACATCTGAAGAGGTTGCAAAACCCAATCTTCTGAGAACACGTTTACGACACTTGAGCTCGTCCATTTGTAAAACAGTCCTTGCTTTTTTCAATTCCCGTTTAGCTGCTTTTATGTCTACGGCAATCTAAGTTAACAACAGACATTTTAACAGAAATAAGAAATTTTTTGTGCCTTCAAGTCACTGAGTCCTTGCATTTTTCTCGGTAAGGCTTTTTAGAAATGGTTGCCATTGCCTGCTTCCTAAGGCAGAGAGAAAGTGACTGGCCCAAGATCATCCAGCTGACTTCATGCCTAAGGTTTCTAGACTGTTGCCTTAACAGCTGGCTGTGTGGCCCAGAATTCTTTTTTTTTTTTTAGGATCGTTTTACTGGTTTGAAGATACCAGAAACTGAACCTGGATCTTCTACATCAAAGAAGGCAAACTTTATTCAGTGACCTACAACCCCTCCACTAGTGAACCTACCTAAAGTTTGTTCCTTACCTGTGTTTTTCTTTCACAAAGTTTGTATATAGTTTCCAAATTAGAATCATTGTGAAGTGGATGGGAATACATCCTATGTTCAAATGCTTCTATTTTTTGGATTACTTTTTTCAGTCCTGGATCTTTAATGCCCATGTCATCGATAGGATCCAGCAAAGGAACTCCATCAGGAAACCGTCTCTGCACTTCCTTTAAGAAATTTTTTTTAAACCCTTAAAATATTTCTTCACTGCAGTATTGATATAGCTGACACTTCAGATATTTGAGAACATATAACATAGTGGCAAAGAGACTAAACTGAAAAAGAAACCTTCAGACCAAATATTTATTTGATTTTTAAACTACTTCAAATCATGAAACTCCTCTTGGGAATTTTACAAGAAGAAAATATCCATAACAATTCAAAGATAAAACAAATGTGCAAGAAGTATTTAAAACTGTCTTAAAAGTGAGAAGATAAACATTTCTTTGGCACTACCCTTTGCAATCAAAAAGGCTCTCCAGAAAAGCTCTATTTTAACCTGCATCTGAAAGCCAAAAGGATCACAGCAAACTTGATCTTTACTAGTAAATTATTCCACCAAAAGGAGGCTATTACGGAGACCCTTCTTATTATAGCTTCAACTTCTCTAATCTCCTGGTAGTGGGAGATTCCTAATGAAGTTTTCCCAAATTGTTCCTCTAGGAAAGATGGATTCTAGTTGATGGAGGTGGCTGTGCAGATATTTTGGTACCAAACAAAGCCATACAGTTTTAAATCACCCCTGGATATTGAACCTGGATATTACTGCAGTCAATGTACTCAGAGCACTATAAGGTATGGATGGCATTAAGTACTAAGGATATGAACTACTGCACTTTGCACCATTTGCAACTTTTGAATCTTTAAGGCAGCCCCATACAGAACACACTGCACTGGCCAATCAGGCGGTGAGAACAGCATTTGTTATTTGGGCTAGGCACTTTGCAAACATTTACTAAATGGTCTTCCAATTATTTTACTTTTTTTAAAATTCATCTGCCCCATCTGTAACAAGAGATTATGGTGATGCTTTTTCATCAACCATAGTACAGTTCTTTTCATTACCAATTGATTAAAGATATTGGAGCTTGCAGAATCCTCTCAACTGTTAATTTTTATTACTCTCTTGTTCTGCGTATATATATATATATATAAAATACAGAATACACACACACACACACACACACACACACACACACACACACACTTTACCTGTATTGATTTCAATACACTCTGTCTGTTATCAAGAGGCCTTAAGTCTTTGGGTATATAGAGTCGAACACTGCTGATGGATGACAGAAGATGAACAAGGACAGGAACAACCTACTCAAACAGACAAGTGATCAGCAAACTAAAAATGTACTTCATTGATCTTCAAACTATTAAACAGATTATATTTTATGCAGCATATTCTGAGTTCAGTACTATACTTTCATTCTGCTATACAATATAATACACTGAAGAATATGGAATATTTCTGTAATAAATCAGTTCCAATTTTATTTTTAAATATTGTAATTTACTTAAAATTGAACTCTCTCTTGAAAATGCTTAACTTATTGAGATAAAAAAAATAAATTCACAAATTGGAGTCATCTCAAAATTTCTAATAGATTTTTTAAAAATATATATTTGTCATCCTTCCAAACTCATTGTGTGTGTGTGTGTACCCACTTTATGTATGTATATATACCTTCACACAAATAGAATTGCATTAATCCCCGATTGATTAGAATTCAATGCAGATCTATACCATACAATTGTTTAACTAAAATTCAGCACCATCAGATGTGATGGTAACAATTTAGACAGCTTACAAATGTTATTAAATATTCTTATAGCTGTTTTATTAGCTCTAGAATCAGAGGCAGCATACCTTAAATGTCAGCTGTAGGATTTTAAAACTATTGTTAAACTGTTATTAAATCTCAATTTTATATGGAATGAAGTGACGGGAAAATGCATTTAATATTTCATAGCTCTATTAAAGGAATAGAAGTTAATAAAAAAGAGTATAAGTTAAGAGCTTTTGCGGATGACTTGGTTATCACTTTGTCGCAACCTACTTATTCTGTAGTAAAATTATTACAGTTGATTCATAATTATGGTTTGGTTTCGGGTTTTAAGATTAATGTTAATAAGACTAAAATTTTACCTAAAAATATGACTAGTCGGGAGAAGCAGACTTTGGTTAATTTGACGGGTTTTGAAATTGTTAATAAGGTAAAATATTTGGGGGTGATGCTATCTGTTTCTAATGCAAAATTATTTAAAAATAATTATGAAAGGTTGTGGGTTAGGGTACAGAGAGACTTGAAGAATTGGGAAAAGTTGCAATTATCCCTCATGGGAAGAATTGCAGTGATAAAAATGAATATTCTACCCAAGTTTCTCTTTTTGTTCCAAATGATACCGATTTTGAAGAATGAGATCAATTTAACTGAGTGGCAGAAAGGCCTTAATAAATTTATTTGGGCAGGGAAAAAGCCAAGGGTTAAGTTTAAAATTATGCAAGATTTCCGTGAGAGGGGAGGACTCAAGGTGCCGAATTTGAAATTATATTATGATGCGGTGGTTTTAACATTAGTTAGTGACTGGGTAAATTTGACAAATTCTGATATACTTCACTTAGAGGGATGGAATCTACTTTTTGGGTGGCATGCCTATTTAATATTTAATAAAAAAATGGATTGGGCTTTTAAATCTCATATCTTAAGAATTTCTTTACTTAGGGTTTGGAGAAAATATTATAAAAGTGATTTCAAAGTACCATTATGGGCTATACCTTGGCATGCAATAGAAGGAATAAAAAGAGGGGTTAAAATGGATATGGTGTCTTATAGACAGTTACTTAAATGGGATGGACAAAACTGGCAGTTAAAATCACGGGAAGAGTTAGCACAAGAAAATATTATTTATTCTTGGTTCCAATATAGGCAATTATTAGATAGATGGAAGATGGACTGTAAGGTGGGTTTTCTCAGAGAAGATGAAAATCTTATTAAGCAAGTGAAGGATCAAAGACAAACCCACATTAAGAGGATTTATGGGGTTTTAGTTGAATTGGATTCAGAAACGGAACTAATTAAAGATTGTATGATTAGATGGGCGCAGAATTTTGGCGAGCCAGTTCCATTGGACACCTGGGAAACTATTTGGGTGAGAAATGTCAAATTTACACAAGCACAGAACTTAAGGGAGAATTTTTATAAAATGTTTTATAGATGGCACCTTGATCCACAAAAAATGTCTTTTATGTACCCTGACTTACAACCTAAATGTTGGAGATGTGGTTGTATGGACGCTACTTATTATCATATTTGGTGGTCGTGCAGAGAGATAAAAGCATTCTGGATTAAGATATGGTGGAATATCCAGAGAATTTTTAAAAGGAGGGTAAAATTTACTCCACAATTATTTTTGTTAGGTATAGTTATTGATTGTGATACAAAGGAGGTTATATTGATGTTAAATTTGATTACAGCTGCGAGGCTGTTAGTAGGACAATATTGGAAGAAGGAATCTTTGCCTACATTGCAGGAATGGTTTCTTAAAGTGTCTCATTTGGCGGAAATGGCAAAGATTTCGGCTTTCTTAAAGGGACAAACGCAAGAGAAATTTCTTGCTGTTTGGGATAAATGGATAAAATTCATACAATTTAAATTTGATATAAAAAAATACTATATAGTTTTTTCATAATTTTTAACTTTATATATATATATATTTTCTATTTTATATTCTTTTTTTTATAAATATAATTTTTTTTAACTTTTTTTTAATTAAGCCTATATTCTGCTCTGGGAGGCCCTGGGGGGGGGAAGGGGGGGTTGGGTAGGGGTGGGGGAAGGGGGGTTTTGTTGGGTAATGTTTGTTTTTTATTTGTATATGTTGTTTTTTGTTTTTGTATTGTCTTTTATTTTCTGTAAAATTTATAAAACTCTTTAATAAAGAAGAGACTGGAAAAAAAAATATTTCATAGCTCCATAAAAGAAATGAACATGCTTGTTTGTCAAAGCAGCAATTTAGCAGACTTTCAGACTGTCTGAAAACAAGATAAACAGAATGTTGAATGGCAAATCTGGGATTCAACAGTGAAACCCAACATAAATTTGAATAATCTTGCAGTGGAGGATGTAACTTTAGTGGAAGCTATCGCCAAATAATTCTACACCAGTTCTTAATCTATGTATGGCCTTCTTTCCCAAGAGAGTTTAAAGTCAGGTATAAACTAATATTCAGTTACCTAACATGTAAGGCTAGCCCTGAGGTAAACTTGGAATAATATAGTTATAAATAGGCATTTTTATTTTCAGTGCAACTACTGTGTTTCCCCGAAAATAAGCACTAGCCTGATTTTTACGTGTGCGACAAATATAAGTCCTACCCCCAAAATAAGCCATAGTTAAGACTCTGCCGTCTGGTTGCATGCGGTGGGGTGAGGCGCACGCGTAACATTCAAGCTAGGGCGGGGGTGGGGGTGGAGTTACTCCCATGTGCCCCACACCTACCTACCTCAGGACTGCCGCAGGCAGGCCTCCCATGCCCCGACACCTGTCGCATCGCTGCCTGACTTCTGCGCCACTCGTACATGGCGCGTCACGCTGGTGCCGCCCCTCAGGGCAAGCCACATGGCGTATTGCAAGCTGAGCAGCGGCACCAGTGCATCATGCTGTGTGGCGTCCTGCTGCAAGCAGCAGCACCAGCCCAACGCGCCACATGGTGTCGTGCTGCGAGTGGCCACAGAAGAAGTCTCTAAAACTGATGCCATCCAGCAAGAAGAAACTTGTGTCCTTTGTTTTTGGCAGCAATTTGTACACAGAGAGAAAATATGTCTTTTCACCAAGTGCTTTTGACATACAATTTTCTTTCTCTATTTTCAATAAGAGGAAAAGCAATCACCTGCATCTCCCCTTTTTCATCAGGCTTTGCAGGCTTTGCGGCTTCAGTTGCAGAATTTTTCAGGCTCTCTTTACTACAGTATAGGAGGACTTCAGCAATATAGAGTGGATCCAGTTCACCAGAATTAGGCTGCGGGATTAGGAAAAGATCAGAAAAGGCTCGGAGTTACTTTTCAATAGTAAAATTATTAGGTTTCCTATACCACAGTGGTTGTTTAGGGGAAAAAGGATAAAAAGTAACATATCCTACATGAACAATATAAACATACCATAGTTCCCTTTACAATGAAACCATTTGGACACAATCAAAAATGTTTATGAAAAAAATTGTCAGTTTTAAGCACTGGGCAGGATCTTGTAATTAAGAAATATATATATTGCCTTACACTCTAAAATCTAAGAGTAAGAATTCTTGGCTTCTTAAAAATCATTTTTATAATTCATAGTTATTCCAACTATACAAAACGTGATATTTCTCCTTCCATCATTCTTCTGGCAAAAGGGAGGATTCTATCCAAAGTGGGAAGTTAAAGCCAAAGTTATAGCCAGAATTTGATGCAGCAACAGCCTGAAGCGCTATGCAACCTCCTGCCGTGAGCAGCAGCACTGGGTGACGAGCCACACAGCTTACCGGCAATGTAAGTGGGTGCAGGGCACATGGGGCAGCTTCACCTCCCCACCCCTTAGAGCAGCAACTGCGCAATGCACCACAGTGTCCAGCCGTAAGTAGCCGCTGAAGATGTCAAGCAGTGGTGCGATAGATGTCGGGGTGTGGGAGGCCTGGCTGTGGTGGTCCTAAGGTAAGACACCCTCCAAAAATAAGACCCAGTGCCTCTTTTGGAGGCAAAAAATATATAAGACCAGGTCTTATTTTCGGGAAAACATGGTATGTTAGTTCCTTTGTGTGCATACCACTAGAGGTATGTAAATGAGGAACTGCCTTATCTTAATTTTCAGATTATAAACTGTGTTTCTGAATAAATCTGCTCAGACAGTAATATGACTTCCCTGAGATAACTGGCTGAATATAACAGAGTCCATTGTTTTACTTCAATTATTACCTGATAATCAGAAATAATAAGAGCCAGGATCATTTGAAGAAAAAAAAATATAGCTGCAATGCACACAGGAGTTTGTTCTAATCAATTCATGGTGCTTACTTGCTGGTGAACATGCAGGATTCGGCTGTCAACTCAATATGGCTTTTGTAAGAAATCAGCCTTTTCTGTACACTTCCTCACAAAAATGAGCATCTCCTTATGAAGTAATATGTGGTTATACATTTCTCCTATTTTGTGGTCAGGGATATATTTATTCAAGATTGAGGAAAATCATTTTATCTTACCTTCACATTGGATTTCTTGGAAAAATTAACCACCACTCCCCAACCAAAATCATCATCTTCATTTTTCACCTGAGAACATTCAGATATTAAACTTGTACATTATTTTGCATAGGGGATGTTTTTTAATAAAGTACTTAGATAAAATAATGCTCACAAAAAATGAGAGTTCAAAAAGATATCAGGCATATTTTGTGTTGTGAAAGTAAAATATGAAATAAAAAATATAACGAAAACAGTAAGAATAACAACAAAAAAATTAAAACAATTAAAAGACTAAATTTAAGAAATGTTTCTTCATGCATTTCCAACAGTATGGAAGGGACAGGAGTGAAGTCAGAGTTCTTCCATCTAAGCCCATCCCAGTGGATTGCACTGGCACACTGCATGAGCTGTCTATCTTTCCACTGGGTCTTGAAAGAAAAAAGAAGAGCTGCTGAACACTTTTTTTTGCCAAATGCTCCTATAAGCTGATTTCTAAATCAGTGTTTCTCAACCTTAGCATCTCTAAATTGTGCAGATTTCAACTCCCAGAATTCTGCCAATTCTATGTTGGCTGGGGAATTCTAGGAGTTGAAGTTCACACAACACAAAGCTGCCAAGTTTGAGAAACACTACTCTAAAGGATTACCAAGCAGTGCATGCTAGAAATATTCCAAGGGATGGTGGCAATAGTGCTGAGTGAGAGTTGACATATGGGCACAGTGGCCTCAGTGAGATGAAATGCTTTGTGGTTAGGCTTGGTTTATGGTTCAGGTGAAATTTGGTGAGTACCGTATGTGTGGAGAGTGAAATGTTCCTAAAGTAGAGAGTGCAGGGACCCAATTTGTGTGATTTTAGGTATGATGAGAACATGAGAGGAGAAGCCACTTCAGAGCCAGAGGACTTAGATGACTTTGGGTCATTGCCCTTTTGAAGCACAAGTGTACTTCTCAGTATCTTCTCAGTTGATGCACTGGAGTACACCCTCCCCCTAAATTTCCAGATATAATTTACAAACAATGTTAGAAAGCACTAGTTTTGATTATCAGAAGATGACAAGCTAAGCTGAAATATACCAAACCACCTATTAGAAAACTGAAAACAAATTAAACAAACACCATATATACATTCTCCAGAACAGCCTATTGAAGTATACAACACATTTTAAAAATAATATTAAATCAGGAAAATAAGCAAACACAAATACAAATATTAGACATTATTCAATTACTGATCCTTAATAGAAATGTGCTTTTCTGGTGGATCTCTAAAATATTTTCCAGTGTACAATAAAAACACATACTTTGATAGATTATAATGAATTTCTGATATTTTGGGTTATTTATTGTTAATAAATATAAATTTATTTCAATAGAATCACACTTTAAATTAACTGTGAGAATATTTAGTCATGTCTAACTTCCGTTCTACATAGTCTAATATGTTTTCTGTAACTATGATGGATCGAAGCCAGTATATACTCAATGTTTGGTTAATTAAGGGTTAAAGTTACAGACACAGTCCCTAAATATATGAAATCACTATGTTGAAGAACAAGGGTATTTAAAACTTGATTTTATTTTTGAAAAGTACACATTTTTAAAATGCAGAAGATTACTATTAGTAACTTACTTTTACCAATCTTCCAGGTTGTAAAAATGGCAAGCAGTATTTTGGCTTATGAATATATTCCTCTATTTCTTTACCCAGTTTAGCAAGTTGCTGTCTAATTTTATAATAGATGATCACATTTTCTTCATTTGGAATTTCAATCTCATTATACTGCTGTTCCAAATTATTAATTTCTGCAAATACAAATTGTAAAACAAAAAGGTGTTATATCAAGGACCAATATTGTAACAAATTATGACTCCAGTTTTTCCCAGAAAAAGCACACTATCCATTCATAGAAAAATATCTGCAGGGCTTAGAGACTTTGTTATCCCTCCCATCTCCTTGTCAACATGTCCTAGAACATTAGGAATTTCATAGAGAGCAATTTGTTTTATGCTGGCTTAACTGCCAAGGGAGAACAAAACAGGATTTATGTTTATGAGAATGTGTAGAGTGGTTATCCCCAAACAACAGTTTTTGTTACAGTATATTTGATTCTCATATCTGAAGACTAGTTTGCACACTACATAATTAAAATCTTCATGATATTAACATTTTATTTTTGTTTTAATACAACAGGTAGCAGGGAACATTATATAGTTATATTTGTCAAAATGATAAGGAGAGTTAGTGGCAAATTTTAGCTTGTTGGTATGCCTTAAAAGGCTTCCAATATTTTAAGAATGTTGTGCTTTCTATTAATTCTCATATTTTTAAAACAGCAAGATCCAATGAATTTTAACTTGAAACTCTGCTCAAAGGATCTCAATTAGGAGATTCCAATCATACAATAGGGGAACATGTGACTCTTATGTATTGCTGAAATTCTGCTGTGCCAGACCAACTTCCCAGAAGTTTCATGCCCACATATCAGAGTAGGTTATATAATGGCCAGACCCTTTAAGATAATACTAGCATTATCTTAGCTGAAACTGTAAAGTGGTCAAAGCTAATGTTCTGTCCTACTTCAGCTACAGCAATTTTTCCCAGATACAATAAAAAGCCCTCTGATCCCATTATCTTAGTGGACTACTTGTGCAACTAATTCTGCAGACCACAAGAGATCTTTTAAAAATTCATTAACAATGTATAAGACACAACATAATGATTCAGAGTGGTTCGCAAATTACACTAAAAACACATATAAAAAAACAGAATAAAACAAAACAAAGAAAAAACACAAAAGCTAACATTACTGGAAAAATTATGCATTTTGACCTTCTGACCTGGATAGACCTGTATAATTAAGAAGAGGCTTTGCTTTGTTCCAATAGTACTTTATTCAGTTATATGGATCCTGCCACAGAAAGAGCTGAATTGGTTTTATTAAACATACCCATGGGGAGCCTCCATAAATAGTGCCCTAAATGTGTGGGATGGACTATACGGTTGCCCCCAACCTCAAAAACCTGCATAGAAAATCTCCTTTGAAACAGTGGGCCATCTGTGCTATAGCATTTGTGTTTTATTCAAAGAAAGGAAGTAAGAAACCACTGAGTAGTCTCCAGCTCTGTGGGAACAGCCATTGTGCTAATTGTGGTTTTGTAATAGGATAACAATTTTAGCAGAGAATATTGTGGAAATAAGCTCTTCAACATAATTGTACATCAAGTTCCAAACTATTAGGTATTGCGCAAAACTTACTTTCAACTACTCCTGGAATAGCTCTATAATGCTGGAACTGATAAAAAGATTTTTCTAACATGTATTCTGGATTAATTTCTTCTACACGCAGCAAATTTAGTACCATGTTGTAGGTCAAATGGAAAGCACTGTTTAAAGGGTCAGCAGATCCCTAGAAAGAAAAATAAATTAGCAAAATCAGGTAGCATAAAGAATTATAATCACGAAATAAGTTATCTGAGGAAATACCTTATCTCCCTAGTTTAAATAATGCCTGGATGAATACAACTTGTGCCTAGTAAGAATTCTGCCAAACATTTCAGGATGTCATATAATTCCAAAATAGGTCTAACAGGCAAACTTGCATACATAGTGAATCCTCTCGACATGGAAGATGCAAATTCCATAGATTCCCCTCTCCCTGCCTATGTAACCCTCCCAACAATGACACAGACCATAAGAACGGCAAAACATTTTGATTAAAAAACATAATTGTTGCTATAATTTTTGAAGCCATCATTTACTGTATTCCTCAGTCTGTTTGTCCTAGCAGGTAAGATTATTTTTTTTCTTTTGGAGTCCTTAGAAGGTAGAAGAAAGTAATTTCCTTAGTGACAGTGGGGCTATCCTCAATCTCTTTGTGCAGCTGAAGTACCAGTGGCTCACAAAGGAGAAGCATGATGATTTAGAACCACTTTCTCTTTAGGAATCTATACCTAGATTTCTATTGGTAGATTGTAATGCTTGCAGGTTCTCCAGTACTGAACAGGCTATCTATACAGCTTAACACATAAGCAATCATTGTTTTAGGATACAAGAGAGGAAAGTGCCATCTTGCCTAGCCCCTACAAAGCCTCTTAGAAGGAGCTGCCTCAAAAATGTCATACACCTTAATCATATCTGGAGGTTAGGGGTGGTTGAGAATTCTCAAAGCTGTATTTTCTCTGATGGCCATTTTTTCTAAGCAGTTAAAGGTAGAGAAGTATTACTGGAGGAGGGGAAAATAGCTCTTACGATTCCTGCATTTTAGCTTTCTGACCAAGAAGGCCCATAAAATTCAAGCCACCAACCACTCCCTAACATTTTTACATCTTGCCTCAAGGCCTATCAGAGGTCTTAACGGTTTTGATGAGAAATATATACCAGCTTTCTTAGTCTGAAAACAATGAGCTGAAAGGAAATCCCAATGACAGATGCAATGACATTCTTTTAAATAGGACTAACGTGGTCAATGCTTTAGCAATCAAGACAACAGAACCCATCTCCCAGGCTGTGTGATATTATGGTCCAAACAACTCCTATAGCAGTTTCCCAGATATCGGGTGTCAGTCCATCAAGATGTTAACAGATTGTCTAAGACCACAGGTTTTAGATCAGACTCAATGCATTTCTTGGGCCACGAAAGAGCACCTCTGTCATACTTAGATTCCAATGGCAGAAATTAAAAGCAGATGTTAAGCTCCAATAGTAGAGAACCATCCAGGAAGAAAGATTCATCTGAATAATTCATTAGCTTTATTGTCAACAGGGTATCGAATTTATACATATAATCTTGAAAACTGAGTAAGCCAAAATCCTAGCACAGGAATTCATTGACAGAGTATCTAAAAGGCATGTAACCCTTTTGGCCAGAATCCAACAGTAATGGCTACTTATCATTTTCCAGATAAGACTGACCCTGAAAACACATTTGCTTATTGTTAAGTGTGTTTTGAAATACTGCCATTTCTTTTCCAGTCCCAGAATCATTTCCAGAGATTATGCTTATAGCAGCTATGTTAGATGAAGTCCTGGTCTAAACTAAAGTAAAAAAGAGAGACTTCCTGTCAAGATCAAGCTACCAGTGAAAACAGCAACAGACATGGCAGCAGCAGTATGGGGCCATCTTTGTCCATTTTCTTAGCACTGGATCCTCATTATATAAAGAAAAAAGATGCTCCATTTAGATAGATGGAAGAAGCAAAAACTGTGAGAGTTGATCAGACCAGTGTCAAACAACAAATTCAGCATTAACCTGATCAACTGACCCATAACACAGAGTCGGTTCTGTGGGCCTAGGTTGACTCAATCATCTACAATGTGAACAACCAAAAGTCAAACAGGGGTAGCTTGAGGTCCTCTGCAATTCTTTGAATGGCAGATGCCCAAGAACCTGGACGAATGATTCTCAAAGTGTTTTCCTGAAATACCAGAAATCTTCATAAGCCCACCAAGTGGCTCACCTCAGACACCCTGTATTAACAGAGCACAGATTATTCTCTCTCTGTGCAAAGGGGTCAGTTGGCAGGAATCTGTTTACCATTCCAGTGCTTATGCTAACAAGTCAGATAAAATCCTAATTTTATTTAGCTTGCCCATATAACACTGAATCCTTAAAGGAAACACTACAACAATCTGTATAATGCCACTATAGACAAAGGAAGCAATTGCAGTCTTAAGAACATGCTGCTTTTCATTCTTGAAATTGGAATTCTCAACATTTTGCAAGATGCTTTCTTACAATATAAAATTAACTGTCTGGAATTCAGTTTTTTTACAAAATGGTTTAAAGAAAACCATGAGAACACTAAATACTATACCACTGCTGAATGCCAAGTCATCCTCTCCTGCCAGGTTTTTCGTGCTAGACTCTGGCTGGTAGGTCACATCCTTCAACAAACTAAGATCTGTTACATTTTTCAAAGCCTGCCCACACATGCAATGTTTGGAAACATATGCACATGAGTTATGTAAAACAAGGCAAACCTGCAATTAGAGTTCAGCTGATGTTTATACATGGAGTCTCTACAGTAGCACAGATTCCACTTCAACAGCTTATTTGAAGAGTTGTGCTTCCATCTTGCAATAAATGGACTAAAGGATGACTTTCAATGACAAATTAACCAGAGGGATAAATATAAAATATGACCTCTTCTTAAAAAAATAAAATAAAACAGTAAAACCCAAAGTAAAACAAAATATGAATGCAAAACCTCTATAGCATTTTTCATCAAGGACGCAACTGTTTGTCTGAACATCTGTTGCAATAGCACTGAGAACAGCATTACCAACTGTGATCTGAAAGGATCACACAGCAATGTTTAATCCTCAAAGTTTCAGGATCCTAACCTAGAAGTGCTCTTATTATAAAACAAATAGTATGTACCTAAAATAATTATTATGTTTGAATTACTGGGTAGATCTTGTAATATTTTTTTCTTCTATCTGAATGGATGACATACTGTCCTTACAGTGATAGTGTGTACAGAAACATGCAATGACAGTAATTCACTCTGGTAGTAACATAAAATATATTCTTTGCATGTCACTGCATGTTTCTGTATACACTATCACTATACTTTAAAGGACAGTATGTCACATTCAGATGAGAAGAAAAAAATATTACAAGGTCCTCTAAGTAGTTCAAACATAATTATTATTTTAGACTTACAATAACAGCATATCTATTGGTGTTGCCAAATGAAAACAATGAATCAGCTATCTATTTTCAGTCCTTGTATCCAGTAAAATAATTACTGAATTTATCTTTTTTCTTCTGGTGGAATGACAGGCCAATATTGAATGCATCCTCCTCTATACATTATAAGCTATATTTTTCCCAGTTTCATCATGGTATGCCTGTTGCAATCAAAGGGACAATGGACATCAAGAGCAAGCTTATAGAACAGAAAAAGGACAGCAGTTTTAATTCTGAACTGCATGATCTGCATATGATGAATGCATACTTATAAAATAAATGCTGTTTTGTTTATACTACACTATATCTTCAATCAAAACTCCTCACAATGATTCACAAACTGAGCTGGGTTATTTCATATTTAATCACCTTAACTATGCATTCAGCTCATTGGAGTGTATTCTATAAACATGCACACAACTCAGGATTTTCAGTTCATGCAATATGACATGCCAATCAGTAACTGCTAACAAATATCTGATTACTTGAAACCCAGAGTGCCTCAGTTTAAAAATAAAACTGTAATAACTTACATATTGATTACAAGTTATAAAGTAAACTCAAAATGGGCCAAAAGAGAAACAAAATGGAACCTAGAACATTTTTGATAGAAACTTTAAAATTTCAATGCAATCAGTATTGTAATGCTAATGAGCATACTGCATGGTAAGAGTCTAGGGATGCCTAATCAGAGCAGATCCATATTGTTCTGAATATCTTTTTACCCTAAATAGGACTAAGCTGTATCCATAACAAGATAAATTACTCCCAGTTCCAGAAGGTACAGTTCCAGAAATATAAAAGCTATGCCTGAATTACTTAGACCAGCTATTTCCAGGAAAAATAGAGTATTTCAGAAATGCATTAGTCTATTTTTGCATTCAATTATATGTTTCTCACACATTTTCAGAACTTTCTAATCAGACATCAAAATACCTTTAGAAGCTGTTTTCCAATTGTTGGACTCATCTTTTCATCCACCATTAAAATGACTATTCCTCGATCATCCATGCCTCGGCGGCCAGCACGGCCAGACATCTGAATGTATTCACCTGAGGAAATCTGAAAATATAAAAAAATTAAGACAAAATACTGATGCACCTGCTACCACTATCACTATATATGATATAATACAGTAAAATAATTCACATCTTAACTCTTCACTATATAGTTTCTCTCTCAAACTCTTCTAATTAGAGCTGGACAGATGAGTCCATCTTCTGGTGAACAAGAAGATACTTCCCAGTAAATCTAGCTACTGAAACACAGCTCACTGAAGGGGATATACTGTACTACAGGGTATTCCCAAGGTGAGTAGGAGCAAGTTTTACAATACACTGTGACCAAAAGCCCCGAACATAGCTACTTAAAAGTAGATGGCTCTGTCCAAATGACTGCCCCACAATGCCTATTTAACAGCATTAATGCTGTTATGGCAGTTAAGAGAACATCTTTCCTTATCAAAGTATTGTGATGATACATAGAGGTTTGTCTCTGGATGTCCCCATGTTTTCTGCAACAAAGTATTGGCTCCTCGTCCTTTATTGTATGTTTGGGATGGATTCTTAGAGCCTCTGCACAGTTCGTTTCTAACAAGCTATCTTCTAGGATGGGCTGGACTCATTGGGAATCATTACCTGTCCATGAAACAGTGATCTGATCTTATTATCATCAACTCCAATGGAAAAATGTACTGATCTCCTCCAAGAGTGCCACAAGCTATTCAATTCTACTTGCTGGGATTAAGGCAGCGATCCAAATAAGAATGCTGATCAATACCCAAATGGAGTGTTTCTTAAGATTTTGAGTACCAAGCTGGAGTGTTTCTTAAGATTGTGAGTACCAAGTATATAAGGAAGCAGTAAATAACCTGGGGTGGAAATGCCATAACCCTGAGGTCTACCCATCTATGCAGTATATTTTCAACTGATCCTTTCTCCAGCCTGCCTTTAGGAAATCCAAAAGGTGAGAGATTCCTGACACTGGAGTCACACATTTCTGGGTTTTATGCCATGGTTCAAAGTTGTTTTATCAATTAATAAAAGCTTGGTGGTAACCAGTTGCCCTGGGGTCAGGATGATCAAATGGACTTGTGCGTAAAAGAATAAGTGAAAAATAAAACAGCTCAACAAAATGCAAATACAGATATCTATAGATATTCCTTTGTCTGTTAACAAAGGAAAACAATTCAATAGTAAATTATCCTGTCTCCCCAGCTTGCACCCTCTGAATGCATTGGATTGCAATTTCTGTAATTCATACCATGCATATTCATTGTGTACTAGCTGGCTGATGGTTAATTCCAACACTTTTGAAGATTCTTAAATTAACAAGGATTAATGAAGTGACACACTTCACTTTGATATCTTATAAAGTCTCCCTGCCTTTCTAGCATGAATGCACGATAGCATGTTTACTAGAGATGTGAACAAAACTGAAAATATTCTAGATTTCGGCTGGATAAATTTCAACAACCCCTATGCACAGAACATATATATTCCAGATCTGCCCCATATCAATATACATGGTCTCTATCCAGACAGGACACGTGTTTTGATCCATGCAAAAAACAGTCCACACAAATGTTTCTCCACTCTCCAATGCTTACCCATCGGAAATCTTTCCCATCATATTTCCGGGCACTTGTGAATAGCACTGTCCTTGCTGGCATGTTTATTCCCATAGCAAAAGTCTCTGTAGCAAATAAGGCCTAAATGAAGGCAGCAATATATTTAAAAAATTCATTATTACATACTAAAGTACCCAAATTCAACTATATAGTTTAAAGTCATAAGAAAAAAGCAGACAATTAACAAACTCTCAATGTACAATTCCCACAGTGTAGCTGTGAAATAAAAGGTATTCTTTATTAGACAGATTTCTTTATATTAAACACATAGCTGTACACACTTGGTATTTAGAACTCTTTCATTGCCTGAGAAGGTAATTAGTAAGTGAACTGCTCTGTGAAAAACTTTCAATGGTACCTGAACGCCAAATGTTTTAGGAGTAAGTTCCTCAAAAGACCCAATGTTACTGGTCCTTCACCTCTACTCAGCCACTATTTACCATTTTGAACAGCTTTAAAATTTTATTTGAAAAATAGATTCACTAAGTTCAGGCATAATGACTATATGAGTGTATCATAAAACCCAGCACAACACAATAAAAATAAGATTTTTCTGACCGAATTTAGATGTGAAAATGTGTAGAGACTCACAAAATGAAAATGGTATATTACAGTATATGGTTGAAAGTACATACTTTTATCAGCCCTTCAGAGAAAAGAATTTCGATGGTTTCCTTCAAAATAGGAAGTAAGCCTCCATGATGGATTCCAATACCACGTTTTAAAAGTGGAAGCACATGTTCAACCTGTATGTACAAAAATAAGAGATAAATCTTATTTCATAGGAATTGGCTCGTAATTATTTGTTAGCTCTGCTACATATGGCCACCAACCATTTTCTGCTACATATGGTCAGCAAACAAAGAATTTAAACTGTCTTTTTTGTCTGCTTTTTAAAACTCAAGTTAATAAATGAATAACATAAACATGTCACTATGAACCATATATGCAAATAAACTAACAGTTTTAGTAGACTTAAGTTGAACCTCTGATAAAAAAGGAACAACCAGAAAATAGATTCTTATGCCTGCTCAGTATATCATATAAATTTCATCTTACAAGGCAACAAAGGTTTGTCTGTATTGTCTAAATTAAAACACAGAATTTTTAAAAAATTTTTACTCACTAGCCCTAGGATCAAAACGGATGTGGAAAATTATTTTGTGGTGGCAATATCACAAATACTCAAATTAACATACTAATCTCAAAAGAAACAAGAAGGATCTAATGCTTGATTTCCCCAACTGATTTTTCTCTTAAAGCCATTCAATATACAAAAGCCAAATCTTAAAAGACAGGAGTGTTCAAAAGATAAAGCTAACATTTAACGTCCAATTGACATACGGAAATTTCATACAAAGCTGACATGTTGCAAGAAAATAAACAGAATGGCACACAAATGTGTTCTTACATCTAGAGAAGGCCCTTTGATCAGGTTGAAATCAGAGAGGAGATTGGAAGAGAAAGCATTTTTTGTTAATTAGTGTTGTGCAAAGCACTTCCGTGCAAAGGTTACGGAAGTGTAGCACTAGTATTAACAAAATATTAAAACAGCCATCGTTTGTGGAGGGCTCAGTGCAGCTGCTTGCAAGGCTTTCTGCATGTAGTTCCAACCATTCCATTAGAGTTGTTGGAATTGAACTATTCCTAGCACATTATCTTCCTCACTTAGCAACTGTTCAAAGTTGCAACAGACCTCCTGAGAGCTACTTATGACTCTTTTTTGAAGTTCCAACGGGCACACACAGACACACACACCAAGGTCATTTGGGCGCTTGGAAACTGGCTCACATTTCCAACTGTTTGCAGTGTCCTGTGGTCACGTGACCCTGATTTTTTAGCAGTTTTTGCTGGTTTCCAGCATTTACTTTTAGTTTCTTGCAAAAAAATGCCCATTAATGACTGTGACATTCATTTAATTGTTGCACAAAAGATAATAGAATCAGGCAGTCATACAGTGCCACACTTAATGACTGCAACAACTTACAACCCTAATTCCAGGCTCAATCACGGTCATAAGTCAAGGACTATCTGTATATAGACAGAAATCAGGAAAAAAACAGAGAATGTGGCTGCATTAAATTTCAAGGATGGGAACTGCCTGACATCAATGCACTTTGCATTCCGCTCAAACAATCTGCATAACCCTATTAATTCCATTTTCTTAAATTTTTCCTTGAGAAAGATGTTTCAAGAGAAAAGAGTCAGATGGCATAAAGTGTTGAAAGATAAAAGATTTAGGACTGAACGCAAGGAATAGCACAGTGAGATGACATAAAAGATAAAAATGGTACGTAGACATTTTATGTCATTTTACAAAAGTATTGTCACCAAATTCTATACCCAATTTAATCCAAGATTTAGATCATCCATGGGGTCACAAGGAGTTGGGACATGACTTAGCAACTGAACAACAAATACATAGGCTGTAGGGCTATGAAAAATGCATTTGCTGTTGCAGATTTTCTCTATTTTGTAAATTAATTAAAGGAAAGATTTTTGTATGGTTTTTCTTCATTGCTAAGAAACTGAGAACAAGTTTAGTCTAGTGCAGGTGTAGGTAACCTTGGCTCTTTTATGGCTTGTGGACTTGAACTCCCAGAATTCCTGAGCCATCCATGAGTCATAAAAGAGCCAAGGTTGCCTACCCCTGGTCTAGTGGTTAAGGCTCCAGGCTAAAAACCAGGAAATTGAGTTTTGTCCTGCCTTAAGTCATGAAAGCTGGCAGGGTGACTTTTGGCCAATCACTCTCTTTCGGCCCAATTCACTTCATAGGTTTGTTGTGGTGGTGACAACAGGAGTATTAGGTATGTTCTCTGCCTTACATTGTTTATAAAATAATTATAAAAATAATAAAGGCAGGGATATAAAAACTTTTAAAAAGGGATTGGTCCTATGTTGCTAAATGCAAATAAACTCATGTACTCTTAAGCACTCACTTGTGGGAGCTTCTTGTCTTCATCAGACAAACAATCAATTGCATTGTTAAACACTTCCTCAACCATCCTTTTTTCTTCATCTGAAAGACAAAAGGATATGAATAAACTTTTTTCCTTACCCCTCCAAAAGAGCCATGTTTATAACCAAAGCCTACCAAGAAATTTGTTAAACAGATATGCTGCAAAATAAATTAACTGAGATATTAGGCATATACTAAATAAGCTAGTAACAAATTTCTTCTCACCATAATGGGCAGATATTTTTCTGAGATCTTTTTTGCAGAGTAATCTCATAACAAATTACAGAATTGAAAAAAGTCAAAATAAATTAAATATAATATTTTAAATAAATTTGTATTCAGTAAAACTGAACTTATTAACTACAGTTAAGAAAGAACTCACTGGCCAACCGAACCTGTTTTTGACCTTTTCCTTCTTAAATACCACTGAATATATATTATTCCTTCTCTATGTATTGCTTATTTAAAAGCAATCTCTAGATACTTGAGAACAAGGTGTTTTAAAATCTAAAATTACAAATAACCACATTCTAAATAAAATGTTTTAAGAAGGTGGCCAGTATCACAAGAAATATGACACTAAGAGGGACCACGGCAAATTTCAAAATCAGATTTTACTACATCATTTGTCAAAAGAGAGGGGGTGAAAAGAAAGTTATTGGCTGGTCCCAGTTTTTTGATTAGAGAAAACATATCTGTTTAGATTGTATTCACTAAAAAAAATCAATAAGAAGTAATGCAAATTGATGAAAAATAAATTAACATTTAGAAGTGAGTAGTACACACCTGTGTTGAAATCCAGTTTTGTCATCTGAAGTGCATAGGCTTCACAATCTTTCTTACTGAAACTGAATATAATTACTGGCTGGAAGTTTCTTTCCATGATCATCTTTACAATCTTAAATACATTTGAGGGACCTATGAAGATAGCAATTCCATCAAATATTTTAGATTTTGAAATAGCGGCAGTTACTTCATTTTAACTTCATCTGCCTAACCTTGCAATATATTTATCTGACAAAATTTATACCAACCTTTGGTTCCTCCTTTTCTGCCTTTCTGATCTCCTTTGGCTAAATCACCTGCATCACGAAGTACCTGCATGGCCGTATTAAAATTATCTTCTCTAAAATCACCCTGGAAGGCAAAAACAAATTTTAGTTACAGCTTGGCTTTACTTAGTGACTGCCCTGTTCATCAACCATTCAAACTTACTAAGGTGCTAAACAAATAACTCTGACTAGTGCATGCATTTATGATCTTTCCAGGGTCCTTCAATCTACATGATCACCACTATCAGTATGCACTGTTCTGCCCCTGTCTTGTTTTTTCCTCCCCTTGCAGAGTGGAGAGATTGGTGAGGAAGTGATTACAAGTGATTAAGCTCTGGGCTGCCAGCACTACCATATTGTTTTCTATTCCCCATTGTATGCTTGTTTACTCTCTTGTAATCTCTTTTCCTCCAATGAATACATACATTAATTTCCTTCTTCCTAATTATCCCAGTGCCAACTTGAGTATTCCAAAGAGTGACTATAATCGATTCAACAGAACAGTAAGCATCCTAGTGTGCATAGACCTTCAATGTACTTTCTTCTTTTTCTCTAGCACTTGATCCTGATATTTACATGTTAAGAGTCCAGTGGTTAAAAAACCATGCCAGAAACCGGAGCACTATGAGTACTAGTCCTGCTTTAGGCATGAAAGCTTTCTAGATTACTTTGAGCTGGTCACCTTCTCTCAGCCAAATCTACCTCACAGGTTGTGGGGAAAACAGAAAGATGAAAGAGTAATGGGTGTATTTGTCATCTTGAATTATTTATAAAAATAATGGTGAGATAAAAGTAAATATAATAAAATGACATTCAAAGAAACATCCTTCCTTACATTTTCATCAACTACAAGGTGAAGTCCATCTCCCCCTGCTGGAAAAATATAATGTTGCAAAGGAGTCGGTCTGTAATCTGTGTAAATCACATGGCAGGGCTGGTAAAGAGAAAATAAGTTATTTAAAAATATTCTGTACGCTTTTATATACAATAAAACATTCCTAATTTCTACATTTATCCAAATGAAGTTACCTAAGGCTGGCAGCAGGACTCTGCAGTCTGCAATTAATCATAAATCACAAATTCTCAGACTTGGAAAACCTGCATTCTTTTGTGTCTTACACAACTCTATTTTTACTTTTTATTTTTTTTTCTAATTGCTAGTCTTATGGCTTAATAAAGAATTCACTGGAAAAATCAAAAATATAAATCCAATAATACATATTAGCGGAAGTTAAAACTAGGTTGAAATAATACACTCAACTTAATTCAAGTTATTTTCACATAAAAAAACCTAGCATCTCCCTGTGTACAGACTTGGTTACCTCAGTTCTCATTTGCCACGTATACTCAACCAATCAAACTGAGCTTGTTTTGTATCATTATTGCCGCCGATGCCTTCAATATGATTTTTTTTTTTTTTTTGGCTTTGGTATTCCAAAACTAACTCTCAGCCTACTAAATGGGTTAACAGCACTGCTGCAAGTAAAGGTAAAGAAAAAGACATTTTACCTGTTTGTGAAGATGACATATCCATTCAGCAAACTGACGCGCATTTGGAATAGTGGCAGAAAGAAACACATAGTGAACGTTATCAGGGAGCAAAATAATGGTTTCTTCCCATACCACACCACGTTCTAGAAAACAAAAATTCACAGGACAGCATCATGCTCATCATACTAGGCTTCTACACACAAAAACTCATATATAAATATACAAATTTATAGTACCTGAATTTCTCATGTAATGAATTTCATCAAATATAACCCAAGCAACTTCACGCATAACCTCAGAACCTCTGTAAAGCATACTTCTCAAGATCTAAAAAGAAAAATAAATGAAAATGACCTATTGAACATTGCAAGCACACTTGTTTGGATCTGCCCCTCATAAAGACCTCAAAGAGTCTTTATGAGGGTCAGATCAAACAAGGCTTTAAACTAAATCTGGAGGGGGAAGGAAATCAATAAGCAGAATTATACTAACATAAACCCAAAGGCAATAAAACCTAAAACAAGTAAGGAAGCAGTGAAAGGGAAAGGATACAGCAGGCAGACTAAAGAATGGCAGTGTAAAAGGGATCAGAGAATGGAGGACATACAGGACACATCTGAAGTCCTAGGAGGCTGGGGCAGAGGAAAATATGACAATTTTCATAAATGGAATCTGGTAAGATGTATAGATTTTGAGACCACATAAAAAGATTCTGAGTGGTTTATAGTTTATAAAATAATATATACCATAAAAGAAAAACAGGCCTATCTGGACAAACATCAATAATATTTAGAAAAAAAATTCAACAGGGGTCCCACAAACATCCAAACCCAAGGATGGGAACAGAGGCAGGTTTTCAGAGACTAATAGAACATCTGAAGAGTAGGTACCATAAGTATCTTACAGTAGCGGCCAAAATTATAAAAACCTTTTGGGAAAAGTATACAATAGAAATGCCACCTTTGGTTAAGTTTCCACCAATTTTTCTTCTAATTTCTTTATAACTGTAGCCTTGTTCACTTAATAATACTATTTTACATCGCTTTCTGGGCAACCCAGTCAACTCTTTGCACCATTACTTTAATTTTATTACGTTTTACAAGCTCACTAAATGATAGCGATCACATAACACGCTGACAAATGTCCTCCTCTCAGCTTCAATACATGACATCAATAACTGAATCCTACTGTGATCTGATTGGCTCATTGCCAAAACAAGATGACACCTGATTGCCTCTCTAAACACTCATGCTCATTGGCTACAATCAGATGAAGGTAAGCTACCTGATATCAACCTAAGTGAGTTGTGCTTCCTTTTTCTGGTTATTTGGCTATAACTTTTCACAGAATACAGTACAGATAATTGAACAAACTGTGTTGCATTACATTCTTGATTAAATTATCTTTCCATTGATATATAATTTTATGGTACTACTCCCCCCCCCCAAATGGTGCTATTAGCCATCAAACCTCAAAAATACACTTTTCCAAAAAGGTTTCCACAATTTTGGCCACTACTGTAAGGGGATGCTATTCTAAAGGGCAGGGACAGAGGCACAGAAGGCAAACTTCCTATGTCCCATAAGATGACAACATATAACTGGAATATGCCCACTTTGTTCAACAATGTGTGAATGGGCAGAAACTGTTGGATTTAAAGAGGGATAGAACTTATTATTGGATATAATTGTTTGAAAAGAGACATATCTATCAAAAGAGGAGGGAGGTTGCATTAAATGTACAGCATGGCCACATCTTCATTCTTTCACCAAGAATGAAAATCTTGCTAAATGAAGCTGGATGAATATTAAAGAAAAAAAAAGGGGGGGGGGAAATGACACTATTATGTCAAACTACAGACCACCCAGAAGATATAAATGAAAATTTTGCAAATCAGATGGTCAAAGTATGCAGAAAACATGCATTGAGGTAATGGGGATTTCAACTATATTGATATAAACTAAGATTCTAACTGTTGCATGTGGGACATCCACAGGTTCTTGACATACTTTGCACTCAATCCCGTTATCCAAAAGATAGAAGATGGAACTAAAGGACCAACTTATACTAGACTTACTACTTACTAACAGGAAAGAAATGGTTCAGGAAGTTGTAGGAAATGTGGGAGAGAGTAACCACGCAATCCTAAAATTTATCAAACTGCAAGTTAGGAAGTAGTCAGATTAGTGTTCAATATTTCAAGAGCACTGACTTCCAGAAGCTAAGGGAAAAAGTAAGAAGGATTCCATGGATGAAAATCCTGAAAGGAAAAATTCTGAAGTTAATTAAACCCTAAATACAAAGAAAAGAAAAATGGGAAGAAGCTGATGAGACCAGCATGGTTGTATATAAATAACTCTTCGATAAATTGAGAAATAAGAAGAAATTTTTAAAAATAGAGGAGCATGTAACAAAGGCAGAGTATTAGGAAATAGCCTGAAGGATAAGGTCAAGAAGCATTTGGTCCAGAACGAGCAGAGATTTGCAAAATTAACAGAAAGAGTTCTTTAGACATAGGCAGAAGAAGAGGAAAAGTCAAGGAAATTGTTGATTTGAGAATAGAAGAAGATACCAAGTTAGTGATAACAGAGAGAAGGCTGCATTGGCTGAGTCCTATTTTGTATGTATTTTTTTCCAAAAAGAAAAGTCCAATTTCTCAGAAGCCGCATCATGTGAGGCAGAAGAGAAATGGTCAAAATGAGTAAGGAAAGTGGTGAGAAAACATCTGCTTTTGCTTTGAAGGAATTCAAGTCAGTGGGGCTAGATGAATTGTGTCCCAGGCTGCTACAGGAACTAATAATCTAGAGCAGAGGTCCTTAACCTTTTGAGCACCAGGGACCGGTTATGTGGAGAGAAGTTTTTCTGCGGACCGGAGGGGGCATGGTTTTGTGTACTGCCTGCATCCTGTGGATGGGGCTTCCTTGTTTGTGTGGACCGGTTGCTGGTATGCTGTACCCCGGTACTAGTTCACAGACCGGGGATTCAGGACCCCTGATCTAGAGTAAATCTGATAATCATAATAGAATGCATCAGATAAACATAATCTCCAATTCCATATCCAAACTTATATGACCATCACCATGGTGACTCCAGGTGGCTTACAGTATTATGCTGATAATATGTTAAACACAGGGTTTAAACTGAACCATATGGTATGCAATTCAATGTTTTGTACAAACATATACAAACAGAGAGCTCAAAAACCAGCACAAGAAAGTTTAACAACCAGACCTACCTCTGTGGTCATTACAAGGCAAGATGCCGTAGGGTTGATGGTGACATCCCCAGTCATCAAGCCAACATCTTGAAATTCTTCATACATCTCGCGATATTTTTGGTTACTAAGAGCTTTAATAGGACTGGTAAATATCACACGCTGTTTTTCTCTTAAAGCCAAAGCAATGGCATACCTGTAGTACATATGCAATATTCATTATGAATTGATACGCTTTGCAATATATTTCTACTGTTAATATGAAATAATTGCACAATCTGCAATTACATTTTATTGTTTATAATAACTGTTTACTGTTTAAATCCAATAAAATATCCCAATGTTAGGAATCTTGAATATTTTATTTTCTTTAAACAATATATACAATATTATAATAGTACTAAATGCTTGAAAAGAATTGTGTGTTCCATAAATCTGACAGAAATATAACACTGAAACAGATTTCCAGGACAAAAATTATTTTGAAAAAAAATGAAGCAAGGTATGCAAACCTGTACAGCAAACTATTTTTTTTAAAAAAAGAATTAAATAGTTGCCAATCATTCCTCCATGTTCCCACACCTCCCATTTTCTTTACTCCATATTTTTGTAACTATTGATCTATTAAGTTTAGAAATGCAAAACTAGTTTCATATTAAATATGTATATAAAAATATACAAACAAAATGGAAATATGATAAATGTAGAAAGTTAATTTACTTTACCATTACTTTACTCAAGGGTAGAATTTAGTGTTTATTTTTAAATCCATCAGAGACCTACTTACTCTGCACATACAGTTTTCCCTGCCGAGGTATGAGCGGATACTAAAACAGACTGATTATTATCCACACACAAAATAGCTTCTCTTTGAAAAGCATCAAGAATGAATGGATATTCCTAAAAAGAAAAAAAAGTTATATAAATTCCAGAACTGATTGTAAATTGGCACAATTCTTTTCCATATATTTATTAGACTGTATTGGGTTTTTTTTATAAAGTCACCATTCTACAGATATTCTGGAAATTAATATCCTCATGTGATGGAGGAAGTAATAGTGTAAGAACAACTAATACACAGTTATCTTTGATAACCACAGTTGTCTTTGCCCCAAATTGATAATTTGGGACTAAACTGCAAAAAATGTATCTTTAAAACACAAGAACTTTAATTTTTAAAGACTTTCTAAAAATCTTTATTGGAAGAATTCTCTTGAAGTCCAGCTTTCCTAAGAACAATGTATTAACAGGCTTCTATACATTCAATAGAAGTTCAGAATTGAATAGTCAGTGGAATTATATGCTCCTAGAATCAACTGAAACTGTATGACCTACATTTAAGTATATTCCAGTCAAATAACCAGAGAAATTCCAACACTGTTTTATTCATATCGGTTTCAACTATTAAAATGATGGATATTAGCATTTCATTAACTTTCAGATAAAACCAAACCTCCAAAAATGTTTATGTCTACACAAATAACTGCCATTTTACCTTTGTCCATTCTTCCCTATTAGCTATAATATTAAAAGAATAAGACTTGTAAATTACAAACCTTTGCAGCTTTTCCAGTTCTTGCCTTCAGGGCTACGAAGTCCATATCTGCAGGAAGAGCAACCTAGTAAAAAAAATTTCCAGTCATTTATATTATTTTTCAGTAATAATGTTCATAAAGTTTGAAGCAGAGTACATAATGCTCCCTCCAAATTAGAGGACATAGGCAGGGCTGAGGGAGAATGACTGGCCCAAAGTCACTGGCTCTATAAATGACAGTACACACAAACCTGGGTTTTCCCAGCACATCTCCAAGATCTTAACCTGTCTGGTCTTTGTATCAGAAACAAAATAATTTCAAATGATTTAAATCAATTTCTTTGTTTATAAGCCTCAACAATTACAGATAGTCATCTACTTCTGACCAGACATATACCTTGATTTGAAATTCCAGTGTTTGGGCTCATTTTGCAATCATATGACCAAATTTTGGGTGTTCAGCAACATGACATTTGAAATGTCCCACAGTCACATGGCCATGTTGTATGACTGCTGAAAACTGGCACCTACTTCTGGTTTTCAGCAAAACCACATTCACAGGGAACATTAAAGAAAGCAATGTTCACTTAACAACCATGGATTGGTTTAATAACTGCTGCAAAAAAAAAAAAAACACTCTAAAATTGAGTCGGTTACGTGACTGACCCATTTTATGACAGTCATAACATATGACAGTAACAGGTAGACTCTATTATGGTTACACGTTGAGGACTATCTGTAGTTTTGTTTCAACTAAGGTTATGGATCCTCTCAACTTGTTGATTTTGCATTACTAGTTACTTCAAGAACATTTCAAAACAGTAATATTATTAACTCCTTTTCCAGAGCTCACAACCATCTCTGTTCCTTATGAAAGAGTACTCTATAATGTCTTTCTCTGGTAAATTTGGTCAATAAAGAGGTAAATTGCCCATAAACCTTAATGTTGTACGCTTAGCTCCTAGAAATAACTTACAATTTTATGCTACAAAATGTCTGTTTTTAAACAAGAGAAATCGAGAAAGCTCTGTCTACTCTTTCTCTTAAGTAAACAGCTAAATTAATGGATATCACAATATCAATCTCATGTCTATTTACCTCCTACTTTTATAAAGTGCTTGGGTTACTTTTTAGTTTTAGAAAGAAATGGAAATTAAAGTATAAGTATATGTTTAAGGAGATGGGACTACGGACATGAGTTTCTTAACTTCTATTTCCACTGAAGATGAACATTTAGCTCATATTATAACAGTATTCAAAAATGTCTCCTTTTCCTTTTCCCATTACTTACTCTCACACAGAAAAGCAAACTATTGCTAAATAGTTTTCTACTTAATAGTATTCTCAACTAGTATAGCACTATATAAAACAGCGTTCATCACCCCCACCAATCTCACACTCACCTCATGTGTACAGCCTTCAATTGTTTCAACAGCTTGTACTTTTACTTTTGGCATCACATCTGCCAAACTAAAATGAAAACCACGTTAATTTACCAGTCAGTAATGAAATATGTATGTTATGCTTTACTTTTAAAGATTAATTATGCTAATAATGATCATTATCCATACATCCAAGTCCACATTCTGGAGAGAAAGGACCACTGGTTTGAAAGAGGGGTCAAAGAGGCCATCCATATTCAAACTAAATAGACCTCTTTCAACAGAGGAGGGATAAGGCACTACCTATCTCCTATCTACAACAGTCCTTTCAGCAGTCCCAAGATTCCACATCCATTTGCACTTTGATTCAGGTGACCTTGAGGTTACCTCAAGTGGCAATGACTTTCAGAGACCCAACAACCAACCTTCAGAGTGCTAATGACCAGATAACTGCAATAATATAAATCCTTCTATTCCCCACCTTTCAGTCAGAAGAAGCTTCTTGTATGAGAAGTGAAATATTTTCAAGAGAAAAAAAAACCAGGAAAGTCCAGTTGCCTTTTGAAAAACACCTTGCTTGTTTGCATCTACTTCTTGTGATACACCAGGAAACCCAGTCCAGGATGCCACAAGAAGCAGCCCAAGATCTATAGTGTACCAGAAGGCCCCAGTCCAGCATGGTCCAAAAGGACTCGCTTTTACTAGCTTCACCCAAAATGGTCTGCTTTTGCACAAAGGGACTTGCTTTTGCCAGCTTCTGCAAAGTGTTTCTTGGAAAGAAGTGCCTCTAGTCATAAGTGCAGGCAGTGCTGCCAAGTGCCCAATTTTTTTTATTGAAAAGTTTTATAAAAAATTACAGTATACACCCCAAAACCCACCCACCCTAAACCCCCCCTCTTCCTCCCCCACTTCCCAGAGCTGAGTACAGGGTTACAAATATAATAATCAAACTCTAACCAACATTAACCAACTATATAAATAACCAAGTCCATAACTCCCCTTTAACATAGGTATAAACAAATTAAAAATAAACATAATAATATAAACGTCAATATTATTAAACAATATCCAAATTGTTAACAATACTAATACTAAAAATAATAATAAAACTAATAAAAATTCTACTATAATAAACTATTAATAATAATATTCTAAAATTTACTCATAAACTAGATGGAACTTTTTAGTCCCATATTTATTCTGAATATAATCTATCCATCTTCTCCAGACCGAAATGTATCTTTCTTGTGAATAATCCTTCAAGTAAGCAGAAATTTTCGCCATTTCTGCTAAATTTGACACTTTAAGCGTCCATTCTTCTATTGTAGGCAAACCGTCCTTCTTTCAATATTGCCCTACCAATAACCTTGCAGCTGTTATCAAATTCAACATCAAGTTAATTTCTTTAACATCACAATCTACAATAACACCCAATAAAAATAATTGTGGAGTAAACTTTATCTTTCTCCTAAAAATCTTTTGAATGTTCCACCAAATCTTAATCCACAAAGCTTTTATATTTCTACAAGTCCACCAAATATGAAAATAAGTAGCATCCAAGCTACCACATCTCCAACATTTGGGTTGTAAATTAGGATACATACAAGGCAACTTTTTAGGATCCAAATGCCATCTATAAAACATTTTGTAAAAAATTTCTCTTAAATTTTGGGCCTGGGTAAATTTTACATTTCTAACCCAAATTACCTCCCATATATCCAATGGAATCGGTTCTTGAATATTTTGGGCCCATTTTACCATACAATCTTTAACTAAATCCATTTCTGAATCCAATTCTATTAAAGCATTATAAATTCTCTTTATATGCGCTCAATTTTGATCTTTAATCTGTATTACCAAATTCTCATCCATTAAGGTGATACCAACCTTTTGATCTAACTTCCACCTAGCCAGCAATTGATTATACTGAAACCAAGACTGTACAATATTTTCTTGCTTTAACTCAACTAACGATTTTAATTACCAATCATTCCCTACCAATCTAAGTAGTTCCTTATAAGAAATCCTATCCAAATTCACACCTATAGATACCCCCTCTATCACATGTCCAGGAATCCCCCAGATTGGTATTTTATAATTTAACTTATAATAATACTTCTTCCAGACATGCAATAAAGCAGCAAGTGCCCAAATTTTGATCACATGACTGTGGTGCTGTAATGACCATAATTTCAGGCATGGGATATAAGTTCCTTTGTTTAGCAAAAAGTTGCTGAACGAACAGCCATAGATCAAAGACTACCTGTATCTTTTACTTTCCTTAAACATTCAAAATGCTTCACATACATTTTTTCAGTAATTTTTGCATCAAGTCTTACCTGGAGGAAGATTTATTCTACTCGCTGGGAGCAATGGAAAATACAGAATTGCTTAACAACATTATTTCTAATGCAAACAGTGTTAGATGATAAAACATTCTCATAGCTTCTAATGTATGTCTTTTACAGTATTTTTTTTTGCAATTGCCCACAAATCATTATCTCTTCCATTCTTAAAAAAAAAATAAGCATTTCCAAGTCTAATATGTACATCTTATTCTTACTTAAGATCATCTGTAGAGAAGTCTTCCAACTTTGGTCTTTTCCCCAAAGCTGTAATATCTGCACTATTAAATTCTGCATCACGTTTTTTTTTGGCTTGGATTTTTGCAGAGGCCACAGATTTGCCATCTCGTTGTTTTCTAATTGGAAACAATTAACAATAATTAATTATAATTATAAGCAAAGCCCAACATATCAACAAACTCTGCTTAAATATCCAATATTGCACTGATGAAATAAAATTTCCCAAAAGCATTATTCTCTTCCTGCAGTGCCCAAACTGGGGGAAAGACCATCAATCTTTCTGAATAGGTTGCACTGCAGCATAAGGAAGGGAGGAACCAACTGCCCAAATGGGTAATGTTCATTTGAATATTCAGCAAGTAAAACATGAACACTCAAGAAAGGAACAACCAAACCCTTTTAACATGTCTGAGGACCCCCAAAATGGGGAACCGGAAATACCACACACCAAAGGAAGTTTCCTGGAAGTCAGATGGGGAACACGTTATCCTCTATACCTGTTTCATTTACAGCATTATTTCTTTTAGATTTATATCACAGCTTCAATCCAAAATTTGAAAAAGGCTCAAATCTGGTAGGTCCCTTTTATTTTAACCCCACAAGAACCACATAATCTAGTGAGGGAAAGCGACTGGGCCCGAGTAATTTGGTGAGCCCTGTGACTGAACCTGAATTCACCAATCCAACAACTGAAAAACTGCATGCAACACGTTGACTCTCTGTATTTCGCGCATCCTGATCCCACATGGATAATAACGTAAACAAGATATGAAATCAAGGCCTGTAAGGAGATCCTTTCTTCCTTTGGTTCTTAGTACTAAGAAAACGTCTCAGAGATTCTATCTTGCCTGCTGCAGTATAAACCTGCATCTGAGGAATCCGAAAGACTAAAACACTCAAGTTTACTACTAGGAAGAGATCCCGTCCCTAATCTCTTCAACCCTCGCTTGTTCCTCACCCTAACTTGCTTGAAGTGGCTGCCTCGGGTGTCCCCTTTGTTTCCTTCAAGCCAGAGCTGGAGGCGGCATCGTCTTCGAACACGCTGAACAGCTCATCCCCGAAAGCGTCCGCCATCTTCCCCACGAGCTACCAGCACTGGTTCCACCTCCACAACAATACGCCAAGGGTAAACGACGATAGAGTAAAGAAGGGCTAGATCGGCTGCAGCTAAACTTCCGATCAACGTTGGCACCCGCCGGTTGCTCATAGAGATAACAAGTAAAGAAATGCAGACCCCGATTTTTTCATTTTAATAGTACTTTTATAAAATCTTTCCCGCAAAATTAAAATATTAGTAAAAAATATGACCGAAACGACTTGTCAAACCGTGAGGTAGTTTTATCTCTATCGAGTTTCTAAAGCAATTCTTTTTGAAGAGCGAGAGGCGAAGGACTTAGGTTTCAATCTAACAGAGAGCGAGCCACATTTTCTTAGTTTTGGGCGGAAGTGACTGCCCATCCCTTGCCCTGATCCAATCAGAAGGGTGATGACGACAGCGGCGGCTGCTCATTCCCGGATGTAAGCAGAAGCGGCGTGAGAGCTTAGTCGGGAGCTCGCGGTGGAGGGAAGCGTGTGTCGGTCATGGGCGGCAAGAACAAGAAGCACAAGGGCGGCAGCGGTGCGGCAGGAGCGGGCGCTGTGCATCCCGGTGCGGTAGCGGCAGCCCGGGCTAAAGTGGTGGGCGCCGCTGCGGCTGAATCGGGAGCCGCCGGAGAAGCTGCCTGCAAAAGACCTCTGGTGCCCCGGCCGAGCCCTGCCGGGAAGGACCTGCGGGTTAAGCAAGGTACCCTCCCGTGAGAAAAGGAGAGGCATGGAGGAAAATTGGCCCGTCGTCTTCCCTGGTAGAATTCAGTGGGACTCACTCCCCGGTTGCCTCCTGGGCGTGGTGGGGCCAAGAGGGGCAGGACGAAGATCCGCTTCCCTCAACCGAGCACTCTGCAGGTGGGACCTTTTAGGCTGACCCGCCCGCTGGGCTTTCGGTTGGGGGAGGCTGGTCCCAGTGAACTGCATCTCGGAGCTGGAAAAAGTATAATTAGTTATTTGTTAACTGGGTTGCCTGTGCTGTCACTCCAGTGTTGAAATAGAAGTCAATTGTGATTTCCCCCCCCCCCATCGTACTCCAGGTTCACTAAGGGAAGGTATGGGACATAGAAGAAAGCCCTTTTCTGTTTAAACTTTATAAATTGGAGCCTGATTACTGTATGGGATTTTTTTTTCATTTTCAAATCTACTACTGGTATCCCCTCAGGATCTCTCACCAGGCCTGAGCCTTTGAACTCATTAACCATATGCTTTTTTTTGACTATTAGTGTCTTAGGGAATTCATACTAAACCATGGTCTGGTTGCTAACATAAATCTAACAAAGAGTCAAATTACAAAACTAAAGGCTATCTCTGGATGTTTGGTTATAAACTACAAAAGAGTGCTTGAATTCTGGATATTTTTTCAGATGAATATGAAACTCAAAATGTGTTAGAAGTTACAAACCTTTCTACTTGTTTTATCCACAAATTAACCCAGTACCAGTAATCCAGAATTAGTTGCAAATAAAAACAAACAGCTCTATCTTTTCATTTCTAATGAAATCAATAAAACACACATTTCTTGAATCTGCTGTTTGCTAGCTAGAGTGTTTTCTTTTCCCCTGTGCAGAATAATTCTCTTATGAACTTCAAGTTAAACTGCTGTTAACATAGCAAATATGCAATAGGAGAAATATATAAAATTATATAGGGTATGAGAACACTGATAGAGGTAGAACATAATTCAGTGAAGGTAGATGTAGGATGGTGGGGAATAACAGGAACTTTATTCATTTAAAACATATAGTCACCCATATTGTACCCAGCTCTGGGCATCTGTAATTATCTAGATACACAGCTTGCAAAAGTAAGATTTTATGAGCATTAACCTGGATATTTTAAAAATAGGAGTAATGCTATCAGTTGGTCAGCACTTTTGTGTCTTGCTTTTATGTCCCATAGATTTTTGATTTGCCTTTTGGAGACTAGAATGTTGTACTAGATAGACTCTTATGTTGGCTTTGTTGAATAATTATTTGCTTAATTATACAGGTCCAAAAACATATAGCTTTGGTTCTGCAGTTGAATCCAGTGCAAGTACAGATGAGTCTATTCTTAAGGTGAGATGATTTGTTAGACGGAAAAATAAATCTTTGGGGAGGGAGCAGGAATATACGTTACAAGAGTCCTAAATTGAAAAAAATTATATAAAATTTAAAAAATTATATAAAATTTAAAAAATTATATAAAATTTAAAAAATTATATAAAATTTAAATAAATTAATATTAAATGTATTTATTAAGTAAATTTAGCAAATAATATATACGCACAATTCAGTAACCTTTTTCATAAATATATAGGAAAAGTATTAAAGTGCATACCATTGGGCTAAATCGTTAGCTATGAATGTGCTTTGTTCAATAATTTTTAAAGCTTGTAACCAAGGTTTTCTTTCATTTCAGGTTATAATTAATAGTAATTTGGAAAAAAGAATTATTGCCATAATTAATGAGCATAAGAAACAAACTGGTGAAAAAGGAATGATTTCTAGAAGACTAACTGCTAAAAAATTACAGGTAAAATTGGAGACTCTGTGCATTAATATTTAACGTATCTTTTAAGTGAGGTCAATTATATACATTCTCAAAAAAAAGATAAAGGCTTCTATATTATAGTTCGTTAATGATTTGTGATCCATTTATTTGATATTTTAAACCGACATAATGAAGGCAAAGATTATTAATTTCTGTTTACTTTCAGTATTCAGGATATATTGTATTATATTTCAGGTTCTTGCAACATTGTAACTGACTTTCCTACTTTTCCATGTATTATGTTCTGTATTGCTTTTGCTTATTTATAATTAATTTTATTTAGTCTTTCATTGTTTTCTCTTTGGTTTTTCTGTTCAAATTAACAGCTGGGTAGCAAGCATTTAAAAAAAACCTGTGAAAGTAATTTGAGTCACCTTGAAGCAAATGGATAGCAAATCAAATAAGCAAATAAATTCTAACCCATGGAAATTAAAAATCAAGACATTTCAAGTAGTGAGATAACTAAGGGTTTGTTGAAGAGACATATCTTGATGACTTTTCTAAAGGCTGAAAGGGTTGGATCCAACTTCAGCTCTGAGAAAATGAATTCTGTAGCCTGAGACTATTACAAGAGAAGGCCTTTGCTTCATATCTAGTAAATGAATAAAATAAGGGGCATCTGCAAAATAGCCTTTTTTGCAGATGTTAGTGCTTGTAAAGTTTGTGTCAGGAAACTTTACAACCAGGAAACACCCTGGTTAGAGCTTTAGAGATTAACACTAGCACTCGTACTTAGAACACAATTGGCAACTAGTGAATTTCTTTCTATGTGGTCATAACACTGATAATACTTGACTCTGAATCAGCCAAGTGAGGCTATCCAAGGTTCTATCCCAGTGCCTGGGGACTGTGCAAGTTTGGATGGGGAGGAACTATTTCCAAATAAGTGGCATGGATATTTGGGCCATCCAGATCTGACCATATTGTTTTGTACTGATCTTTGTTTTTGAATGTTTTTAACAATTGTAAACTGCAGAGAGTCACTGGGAATTGGGCAACATATAAATTTAATTTATTATTAATGTGATTCCATTACTAGGCACTGGTTGATAAACTTCCTGCTAAGTTTTGTATTGACTGAGCTTTCTGGATACTTTTTAAAGGTAAACTTGTATAAAGTGTGCAGTAGTGGCAGTTGTGTACATGTACTTTTTGCCGTAGTTACTCATCTGGGAATCCAGCGACGCCTGTAGATAAAAAAACATTCCCAGGCTTCAGGCTTATTGTTTCAGGGAAATAACAACTCTAAAAGAAAATTTAAACCTTTAAATCTGATTCCTTTGACCAACAATGGTTCCTCACCTTTATGCTAGTTTTTTCTCCTTGAAACCAGTGGTGGGATTCAGCCGGTTTGCACCACTTCAGCAGAACCGGTAGCTAATTTTTTGTTGCCCAGGCCCAAAATGGACTTCTGGAAGCAGCATCCACACAGAGAACCAGTTGTTCACATATTTGAATCCCACCACTGCTTGAAACATATTGTCATAGTTGACTCACTGTGCACTTCTGCTCACAGCCAGACAACAGAAACCAGGGAGGGGTATGATTGGAATGTATGAGCAGCTGTGAGGGAATTGAATTTATGTGCACCATCTGTGGCCTGGGAGAATCTTGACACCTCAAGGTCCAACAATGAGAGCCTTCTGAGCTGAGCAGACAGTTTCCCAAAACAAAGAGATTATACTGGATTGGTGGACAATGGACAGCGGGTGGCCCAGGGGGGAAAAGGGGGATTTTAACTATGCAATTTTTCATGCAAAAACTTGAGGACTGGTTTTGCTTCTACTGTGCTTATATGGATCAATCAGTAAAGTTATACTCTTGGTAAAATAACGTCTCAGGAGTTTCTTTTGCTAGGATAGTTGACATATTTCAAGGGTTACCTCAGTTTATCTCCAGAGTAACCTCCCAGTATGAAAGATTGGGTTGAGAGATTCCCCATGACCAAGTAAGGATTTTTCTCTTTAAAATTTCAGTTACAATACCATGCTAGATCTTATTTTAGAAATCTAGAACCATGTTTTCCAAATGTAGGATTAACTCAAAGTGGTGGGCATAGATTTTACTATTCACTATTCATTATAACAATTTCATTCCACTGTTTTCTAGTGGAATGAAACATATATTTTATATGTTTTTATGTGCAGAAAAGATTTCCTCTGTGATATTCCATAATGCATTGTTGTTTATAGGATGTATACATGGCTTTGCAAGGATTTTCTTTCAAGACTGAAGATATTGAAGAAGCTATGAATAATACTATCTTGTATGGTGGTGACCTACATTCTGCACTTGACTGGCTGTGTTTAAACCTATCTGATGGTAATGATAAAGGCAGCTTTATGAATTTTGAGAAATCCAATATAAACATAAAGCATTTTGCAAGTGTCCCTTCAGATCAGATTCGAGGGCTGCAGGAAGGGAAAGAGGGAAGAATTTTCCTTCTATACATTGATTATCTGTATTTATTAATTGACATTTACCATTTCAAGTTTCTATTGGCTGTTCTAGGAGCTGAAAATTAAGATTAATTATAGATGCATATCAAGGCAGATGACTATCCAAATTTGGTGGTTTTCAAAAAGGTAAACAGGATCAGACCTAGTTAGTATTTGGATGGGAGACAACTATTCAGTCCCAGGGATTCAAGTGAGACTGGAAAGTTTAAAAAAAATGTTTCAGAACAAGGAAGTGCCAAGCTACTTCCAAGTTTTAGAAATATTCCTTTGGTCGACTAGATATTCTGCATATTAGAAGGAAAACCAACAGAGTTTTAAACTAGTTGAGTGGGTTTTTTTCTTCTATAACGGGAAAAATATAGAGTTGTAGAATTTTTTTTCTCACAATGAAATGACAAGGGACAGTCCAAAGGGAAATGAGAATCCTATAAGTGTATTAGAAGCAGAAATATAATATTTCTTGACTATTTTTTTAAAAAAATAATTATAATGGGTGCATATTTTAGATAATAGATTAATGGATGGTGCTACCAATAGCTATATAATACTTAGAATTATAAGGCCTAAAGAGGATGTAAACAGGTTCATCAACTAGATCAAAAATCAAAAAGAGAAAATAAGCCCATGAGCAGAGAAGGGCTGAGCCTATCCTTGTGTGAGAAAGAAACATTCTTAACTTGTATATGAGAATCATAATGCCCTTTGTGTGGGCATCATAATTTCATACATACATACTCTTACATAAAAACATTTCTGTTACATGATTTTTTGAAATCATTCTAAAGTGAAAAGCTGTGTAACATTTTATTAACTCTGGCTAAGAAAATGTAAAAACTTTAAACTGAAAACCCATTTAATTATGGTTTAAATGTATTGTTAAAAAAGAAAGGCTTTGGAAAAACACATAAGCTCTTGCTTTTTCCAGTGTAAGTATAGGTTCCTGCAAGGACAAATCATGGAATTCAGCATTGTGTTATAAACTTTTTATTACCACAATGAGGCTTTTGCCTCACTTTCTTACTGCAACTCCCCCCCCCCAAATATTCTTGTGTTATCTAAAAGGTTGGGAATTTCTCTGAAGTAGCTTTTGAGAATTGGGGGGGGGGGGATATTAAAGAAAGAGCAGATTTGCTTGCCACCTGCTTCTATTGTGCTGCCAGAAACAAAGCTCCAGATTCCACCTTTAGTTTTGAAATTATGATATGAATAGAATTAATTATACAATAAAAGGAAGATTTTAAAGATGTAATTCTAATTTAGAACTACAGATAATTATCAACTATGTATAAGTAGAGAGTCAACTATATATGTGTAGACATTCAGTATTTGAAATTCTGTTTCTGTTTTTCAAAGATGCATTGCCTGAAGGTTTCAGTCAGCAATTTGGTGAAGAACAACAAAAAACTAGAGCTAAATTTCGTTCTCCTTTGCCAAAATCTGAAACTCCTCAGGTGCTAAACAATAAAAGGAAGGAAGATGATGAGGAGAAAAAGGTACTTTGCTGGATGTAGAGAAACCATAGTATTGTTTAATTTTATGAAAAAAAAATTGCTTTTAAATACAAATAAATTGTATTTATTTGTCAAATTCATTGGAAGAAGAAGAAATGACTCTGGATGACATTAAATTTATTATTTATTAAGAAAATGTATAAATGTCAGAAAGGAAAAGATCACCAACTCACTCATGGTGACTCTGGGCAGCTTACAAGATAAAACCTACACCCCCCCCCCGGCAACTACAGTTAGACCAATCACTTGATGCGCTCCACATCATTCTAAGTCGCCAGGCTGTTGACAGAACCATGTCTTTGGGCCTTGTGAAAGACTGTCAAAGTGGGACTCAATCTTATATCTGCAGGGATGATGTTCCAATAGGAGGGAGCTACCACAGAGAAAGGCCTTGTTCTTGGTTCCACTATAAGAGAAGGGACCCCTAACATTCCCTGTTTCTCTGCTCTGGTGGGTCAGGTAGATATGACTGGATATTTATGCTCTTGCATTAATGGAAGTATGAATTCAGTTGTGTAACACTCTCTTTGCATGTTAGTGAATAAAACACATTAACTATAATGGGAATTTCTTCTAAGAAAATTAATTGAGTCATACAGATTAGTTCTAAGCAACAGCAAATTTTCAGTAATTTGTAAACTTGTTTTAAAGATGCACTAATAAAAATTTATCTACACTATTCCTTTATAATATCCAAAGGTAACCACAGGAAAACAAAAAAGTATCAGTATGAAGGAACGAATCTTGTTGTATGCAGAGCAGCAGAGGGCTGAGGAAGAAAATGAGTCTCTGAAAAATTCAGAGGAAGAAAAATTTGACCCAGTAAGTTCATGAACTGTTTCATGTAGATCTTTGTCTTTTTAGCATCCTGTTGCAATGCATATATTATATTAAGAAGTGTTTCTTGGGCACAAGCAAGGCCTTGCTGAGGAGAGATGTCTCACAATGTTCCCTCTTCAGGTGGAAAAGTGTTTGCCCTTGGGGAAGCATTAAGCAGAGAATCAGACCTATCTATCTGTTTAGTATATTAGTAACTTTGAGAAACAGATTTTTCGTATGGAGTAAAGGGAGAGGAAGCTGCGGATTTAAATTTGTTCCTAGATGCTTGTTGTGGGCTAAATCAAATAATAAAACTTTATCAGTCTTTCATTTTTAAGAAAACTTGATTGCAGCTATACTATTGCTCATTATTACATCCAAATGGATGGAGTTAGTGGGAAATGTTGACTGGTTTAGCTTCTAAGTTGTGAAAATATTGCTTGAATGTAGTGCAAAAATAAAACATGAATTTGGTTTAGATTATAAGTAGAATGTTACCTGTAAGGTTGAAATAGAATACCTTCACCATTCACACTTTCTGAGGGAAACTTTCTTGCTTCAATGTGAGAATGATAGGGTTCATAATAATATGGGTTGTTTGACCTAAGCTTGACATGTTGTGTTAACCTAACCATTGTAGTTTGTAAACCATGGTTTATGGTTCTTTTAGCTGTATTCCAAGAAATGTATCCAAAGGCGTGCTGACATTAGAACTGTTAAGGAGTTTAAGATAGCATTTATTTATTCATATTTTCATTTATTTATTTTTCACATTTCTGAATCACACATCTCCCTCAGAGAGAGACTCTGTGTTAAAATATTGAAATTAAAATATCGAAGTTACAATTTTCAGTTAAAATATTAAAAATTATAAACAAGTAGATAAGAATAATTAACTCTGTTAACAATTGGTTGGCAAAAGGAGGGCTCTCATAACACTAACCAACCCCACAACTGTGTGCTCCTTTGGGCTTCCCACGCAAGGCCGCAGAGCCATGTTTTTAACCTCTTTTCAGAAGGCCAGGAGAGTGGGGGCCCACCTCATCTCTGGGGAAGAATATTCCATAGGGCAGAGACAAAGGCAGAGAAGATTTGGAATTCTTTAACTGACAGATCTGCAACATACTTTCCTGACTGGGTGGTACAGGCTGCTGTGATGGGATGAAACTGGTTCTGTAGGTAGCCTGGCCCCACACCATATTGGTTCTTCATGTCTTTAAACATGCCTGATGTGTGGTTTTTTTTTAAATAACAAACATTCATGTGGAGTAACTAGTTTTTCTGGGACAGAATGAAAGATATTTACATTTGGCTGAGAAGCTTGTGGAAAAGAAAGAACTAGCAAGATCCTCTAAAGAAGAAAAAAACAAGCAGGGTCAAAAGATGGCGCAAGAAAAAATAAGACGTATTCAACAAGGTAGAGACGTTCAACATTCATTTAGTTGTCCAGTTTTGCAAAAAGTATTCTCATTTTTGAAAAGAGTTATATAAAATACTACTGTGATGTCATCTTTACTTTCTTTTCTAAAACTGGGAAATTATAACCCCCCCAAAATTGTACATCATACATAACTATAGGAATACATTTGCCTGGGCAACATTTTTTATTTTTGTTGCCTACTATTATTGTATCAACTGATAAACGTGTGGGCTTTATCAAGCAAAATTAATGCAGAGTCAAATAATACAGCTTGATTATTTGTAATTTGAGCAAAAATGATGTGTTCTGATTCAATAAATTTTCTGAATTTGGAGCAGTATACATATGTTTCCTTTAAAATATTTTGTGAGATTAATATTAACATTTATATTTTAATATTGGCGTGTGAATAGCGCTAATATTAATTCAGCTACAGAAGACAATGATATAGATTAAATAGGAGTAATATTTTTTAAACTTAAACTTTCAAGTAGATTTAAAAAAAAAAAACTTTCCTCTTCCTCCTTCCTAAGCAAGAGTATTTGAGAATGCTTGGCTATTGAATAAATCCTATTTATATTTCTTTTTTGACAGAAATGGCAACATTGGAAGACCACCCTTTGTTCAATCCCAATATAAAAGTCACAGACCAGCCAAGTGAAAAGAAAAAGAATCCTGTATTTCTTGAAAAAGGTGGAGCCTTGAATTTGAACATGCTTGAGAAATCACAAAATCCTCCTCCAGAAGAACAAAAAGGTATAAAATTTGTTTTAAAACTTCATGGATATTTTTCAACAATTCTCTGACAGTCTACCATAGAATATAAAGAGAAGATCATTCCTAAATGCAATACAGATTAGATCAATAGCTTTTGTAAGAGGCATCTAAATCATCTGCAAAATCTGTTGTTAAGCTTGATTTTTCCTTTTGTAACGTGATTCTGTAGGATTCAAGATTTGCTCTTGTAAGTTGTGAATCTGTAGATTGCTTTCTTTGGAACAGAATATCACTGTATTTTTTTTAAATTCATTTAAAATATATCACAATAAACCATTCTACTTAAAAACTGAATAAATCTCAGATCCTTCATCTTTTGAGAGATGTGACTCTGTTGATTATAAAAAAATAAAAGCATCTCGCTTAGAATCTCAGTAATTATGAATCATAAAAACTTTTCTCATTCTTTCTTCTTTGATGGGAATAATTTCTACCCTCCCTACACTGTTAATACAGAAACACAAAGTTCTCCAAAACAGTCTTTCCTATAAGTCTAAATTTTCAGACCAATACTTGAACAAATCAATCATATAAAAAACACTTGAGACTCTAGAACAGGGGTAGGCAACCTTGGCTCTTTTATGACTCGTGGACTTCAACTCCCAGAATACCTGAGCCAGCTGTGCTGGCTCAGGAATTCTGGGAGTTGAAGTCCACGAGTCAAAAAAGAGCCAAGGTTGCCTACCCCTGTTCTAGAGTCTAGAGGTTTTTTCATAGAAAACACCTGGAAAGGGGCAAATTCAGTGCAGCTCACTAAAAATTGATGCCAAATTCTTTTAAAAGCTGAGACTAAAACAGGGCAGCCAGATGGCTTTTGTCCTATTCCTTTGAAAATAGGAAATCTAGCAGATTTAAAGGAAGCATGCTTACAGATAAATATATTCATTAAACATATAAGATGGCAGATGAGCAGGCTTATACATTATTTAGCATTTGTTAAATAGTCAAGCTTTTTTTTCATAGCATTTTTAAAAATGCTACCCCAGTTTTATTTGAATTATAACTGGACCTTACACTTACAACTATTGCAGCATTCTGCATCCTTTCTTGCAGAATGTAGCATGATAAATGAAGGCATTAGTTAATGCAGTTATAATTAGAAATGATATTTGTATAATTCAAATACGGGCACTGTAAATAAAGAATTGACTCTCAAAATCTGAACTACCATTATGCCCCTGAACTCCTGACTGAGGCATAATTTTATGAAAACCTGCAAATTATAAATAAACCTTTTGTACCCTGTATAAACTAGTAATGAAGCACAAGACTCTAGGTTCAATACTAGAATTATTTGGAATCTAGCTCTACACATGCATTAATTATGCCTGCTTTTCAGAGCTTATATTAAAAATTGTTTATATTAAAATGCAGATTTAAAATTAATGCTTCCTATCCTCTGTGTACAAATAACTTTTGTTTTTTTCTTGCTTATATTAGTGAAAAAGAAAGATCCTCAGGATGTAAGGAATTTTGATTATACAGCTCGAAGCTGGACTGGAAAATCTCCCAAACAGTTCTTGATTGACTGGTGCAGAAAGCATTATCCCAAGTCCCCAAATCCTTCTTTTGAAAAAGTTCCATCAGGAAGATATTGGAAAAGTAGGTATGTATAACCCTGAAGCAAGTTTTCACTTGATTATGCTTCCATTCAAGTAATTTTAATGGATAAGTACACTCAGGTTGAAACATAGATTAAATCATTTACCCTCAGGTATAATTGTGCCATTCTGATCTAATTCATTCATAGTATACTATAATTTCGTGAGTTTTATAGGCAAGCAAAACTCTTATCACTATTATGAAGTCAATCTGACACCAAGTTCTCACATATGTCCATTTGCAAAAGTTGAATCAGTAGGATATTTATTTGATTTACATCCTTCTTTGATTTAGTACAATACAATAATGTTTCTGCCTTCTGTTTTCCCCACAATCGTGTGAGGTAAATTGGGCTGAGAGAAAGTAGGTAGCTCAAAAATCACCTAAAAGAATAGTTATACAGCAATATCTAAACATACTGCATAAGGAATTATATATAATCAAGATCACATGAAGTGTTAATACCACTTTATAATGCCTTGGTAAGGCAACGCTTGGAATACTGCATCCAGTTTTGGTCACCACAATGTAAAAAAAGAGTACATAGAAGAGCAACAAAGATGATTAGGGGACTGGAGGCTAAAACATATAAAGAACGGTTGCTGGAATTGGGTACGTCTAGTTTAAAGAAGAGAAGGATGAGGGATGACATGACAGCAATGTTCCAGTATCTCAGGGTTTGCCACAAAGAAGAAGAAGTCAAGCTGTTCTCCAAAGCACCTGAAGGCAGGACAAGAAGCAACGGATGGAAACTAATCAAGGAGAGAAGCAACCTAGAACTGAGGAGAAATTTCCTGACAGTTAGAACAATTAACCAGTGGAACAACCTGCCTCCAGAAGCAGTGAATGTTCCAACACTGGAAGTTTTTAAGGAGACTGGACAACCATTTCTCTGAAATGATATAGGGTTTCCTGCCCGAGCAGCGGGTTGGATTATAAGACCTCAAAGGTCCCTCAAAGATCTTCTTCTTTTTCTTCTTCTACTACTACTACTAGTACTACTACTACTACTACTACTACTATTTACATTTCTGTTTTTTGAATTGCCATTAATATACATCATGCCACTGAACAAATGTTATTTCAGATTATATCAAATTTGGAATTTGTTTATAAAGCTGACATTGATAAACAATTACTTTTATTTATGCAATTTATGGATTATCTGACTCATGACAACTCTGGGCAGCTTGTGTTATTTGAATAAGAAATATGGCTTGTTTCATCTATATGATAAAAGTTTGCTTATACATTAAAACCAACTGTACAAAACACGCATTGTCATTTCATGAACTAATTAGCTTATATTTTACTAAAGTGACTGAACTGCTACACAGCTCATGCCATTTGGCATTTTAAGAACAAGTTTTGATTTTTCATTCCAAATAGTTGTTATTTAATATATTATTTTTAATAAGCTTGAACTAACTATTTTTAAGGGTAAGAGTTATCAAGTCAGCTGAAGATACATTGGTGGTATGTCCCACAATCGTTACAGAAGATAGTATGCAGGCTCAACATCTGGCTGCTACGTTAGCTCTGTATCATTTGACAAAAGGGCAGGTGAGATTTTATAATTCCTAATAAAAGTATTTAAAAATAATTTGGTTAAAAGGAATGGTGGCATATACAGTATGTGCAATTAATATTTTGGTGATTAATGTAGGAAATGGTGACTCTTAAAACTTTGCAGTCTGATGGATCTGATTGCTTTCTATATTAATTTTATGCAGTTTCTTATTGGTAACATTTCTTGTTTATTCCGTTTTTAATTGAGCAGTATATGATGCAGTTGTGACTTAAGCATTTTCAAAAATAATAAGTAGCATTCAGATACAGAAAAACTCAGGTAAGTCCAGCTGAAATATTATCTTGGCATGATGACATTAAGCATTTTTCTTTTTAAGCCAGATACCTATACCATAACTTCAAGAAGCCATTCTTACTCAGTCATAACCTCCAGATAAAAAGAAAAGAGAGAGAGAAAGAGAGAGGTAGGTAGGTAGGGAGGGAGAGAGAGAGAGAGAGAATAATTTCTGGAAGATCATTGGAGAGAGAGTAAATCTGACTGTAGTAAACATTTAGAAGTAACAGAGACCTCCATCCCATAACTTGTCTATTAAAGTTTCACTGCATACATGATTCAAAACTATGTTGCATATTTATCTGAAATCAGTTTTATTGAATATAATGACACTTCTCAGTAAATAAATATTGTAATACATAATTTATTCTCAGGCATACTTTAAAGCATTCCTTTTTGTGTCTCCTCTTCAGTCGGTGCATCAGTTACTTCCTCCTACATACAGAGATATTTGGTTAGAATGGACTGATACTGAAAAGAAAAAAGAAGACGAAAACAAGATGGAAACCAACAAGCCTCGTGACCAGTTCATTGCCAGACTGCTGAACAAGCTGAAGCAGCAGCAGCCACAACAGCAATTTGAAGGCAAGGCCAAACTTTCAGAAGATGCAGAAGACTCTTGGGAGAACTTAATTTCTGAAGAGGACTTTAATGGGCTTTCTCTTGAGACCTCATTTACAGATGATTTAGAACCTGTGAGAGCTCTCTTTAAAAAACAACAGAATTCTTCCAGATACCAAAGACTTTTAAAGGAGAGAGAGCAACTACCTGTGTTTAAATATAAACATACCCTTATAGAAACATTAAAAAAGCATCGAGTTGTGGTTGTGGCTGGGGAAACAGGTAGTGGTAAAAGCACTCAAGTTCCACATTTCTTGTTAGAAGATTTGCTACATAATGAACAAAATTTGAATAAATGCAATATTGTTTGCACCCAACCACGGAGGATCTCAGCAGTGAGCTTGGCAACTAGAGTTTGTGAAGAACTGGGCTGTGAAAATGGACCTGGTGGAAGAGTAAGACGTTCTTAGAGTTATATTCCAAAGACTGCTTTTCAGAGAATGTAATAGACAGCTAAAGTGCTCCTAAAAGATCAGTTTATAATGGAACAAATTTTCATTTATGGCTTAGAGGAATTTCACAAAAGGATGTTACGATCCTTTTGTTATATTATCATTCAGTAGTAATTTTAATTTCTTATAGCACGAGTTATGCATCAGTAATTGTGGTGCAGTAGCATTATCTGGCAAATTGAAGAACAGAATAGAGTTGCATTTGAAGTTTTGTAGGTAAACAGTCCAGAAACAGATTGAGGTTACACCTTAAGGGTGTATTGAATTTTGCAGTCAGTTTATAAGAGAAATTCCCCTTTTGAGGAAGCATGCTGCTCTTTCTGTATAATATATATTTGTTATATTTTTAATAAATATTACGGAGTTAATCTTGCACCAAAAGTATTACAAATCCTTAAAAATCACAAATAAAAAAGTAGCTAGCATCTCTTTCTGCTGGGATGGACTAAAAATTGGACAGTGCTTCAAAACTACCTGCACCTGCTATGGATTTTTTTTTTCAAACAGGAAAAATGTTTGTGAATTAATATAGGAGCAAGTAGTATGTTCTAATAATAATAAATTTATTTTGGACAAACCTTTTATTTTCTTCTCTAAGAATTCCTTGTGTGGCTATCAAATCCGTATGGAATCGCGAACAGGAGAAGCCACTAGACTGCTTTATTGTACAACTGGAGTTCTTCTCCGGAAATTGCAAGAAGATGTTCTTCTTTCTAATGTGTCTCATGTTATTGTAGATGAGGTTAGCAACACTTTTTTAATTATTTCAAAGCAGCACAGTTATTCATCCGTATTAACCTCCTCTATATCTTTTTCATAAAGGTTCACGAAAGAAGTGTTCAATCAGATTTCTTGCTAATTATCTTGAGGGAAATCTTGCACAAGCGTTCAGATCTCCATCTCATTTTGATGAGTGCCACAGTTGATAGTGAAAAATTCTCCAGTTATTTCACTCACTGTCCCATACTAAGAATTTCAGGAAGGAGTTACCCTGTAGAGGTAAATGCATAATTGTATTCTTATAACAATTCTTGATTTGATGTCCCATCTTTTCCTTTGGAAGTACCATAAACTGTTCATCTCTGAATCTGTGCTCTATAATATTAAAATTTTATAATGAACTGCCACAAAATTATTTCTAATGTGGATATGATTTCATATCCATTGATTGATTATATGCCATCAAGCCAGCACTTAGCAAACATGTAGTTTTTTCCATGATGATCTGTCCCTAATCTAATTCTTCATGTCTTCCAGTAATGACACTGTAACCAAGTCCATCCACCTTGCTGTTTGTCTCCTCCTTTACCCCTCTGTTCATGTTTCTCAGCATCAGAGTCTTCTCTGCTGAGCTTCCATAATGTGTCCAGACAATAATAATTATCATTTCTAAATAATCTGGTTCTTCATTTGTCAGTTTTAGTGCAAATAGCAGCATGCAATATGCAGTCACATATTATCCATGTTTAAAGACAGACCAGGATTGCCAAAAGCTATGCAATTTTCCAGCTGAATTTTGTGATATTTATCTGAGGCAAAAGGTTGATGTACCTTTCTATTCCAGTAATGGGAAGTTGCTCTGAATGTAATTTCAAAATAAATACAGTACATCTAAAATTGAACTATTTCACTTTACAAAATTCCAGGTTTTTCATGTTGAAGATATAATAGAGGAAACTGGCTTTGTTCTTGAAAAAGATTCTGAATATTGTCAGAAATTTTTGGAAGAAGAGGAGGAAATAACTGTAAATGTTACTAGCAAAGGAGGAGGAATAACAAAATATCAGGTAACATTTTATGCGGAAAAAAATAAGTGTTTACAGAACTGTTTACCAGTTGTGCTCAAAGTAGGTGTATCCTCCCCTCTGGATTTGGGATGCTCCATTATTTTGCACCATGGCCCGCTTTATTTAACAGGTTGTCAGCCTTCAGGACAGCACAAGATGGCCATCCTTAGAAATTATCCTTTGAGGATTGCTGGAAGCAGCAGACTGATAGTGTGATATTACAAAAAAGAGGCAGCCATGAAATCTTGGCTCTGTTTTGTTTCTTTATGTTATTTTTGGGGATGGGAAAGAGATTTATTACATTTATTTTAAAAAATAAAAAAATGGTGAAAAATGAAAATTGCTGCCAAGCTTTTGCATATAATCTTGGGAGAGTTAGAAAAAAATATGATTGGGGGAATGGACTGTTCTTTGGTTGCTCATTTCTGGCATAGCCTTTCAGAGTGACAGACGAAAGGATAGCAAATTTATTTCTAGCTCTGTTGCATGAACTTACATTTGTATTCAATCTTCTGTTAGTTGATGTTGCAGTTAGGCTGTCTAACACATATAGTCCTTTTTATTTTATTTATTATATGCAGCAATAAATAAAACTATTTTGCTACCTTGTTTTAGAATTATTGTTCCAAATTTCTTTCTGTTATGTTCAGGAAAGTGTTCCAGTTCAGGCTGCATCTGGTATTGAGCTAGGACCATATTACCAAAAATACAGCAGTCGAACTCGGGAAGCCATATACTGTATGAATCCCTACAAGATCAACTTTGACCTCATACTGGAGTTACTTGCATTTTTAGGTAAGGTTTTGAAAAATTGCATAAAACACAAATTTAAAATAACTTTCTTACGCCTGATCTTTGTTTTCCCTTTTCCCTAAGGAAAATGCCTAATATGTACAGATGTCCCTGTGTGTGAGAGAGACTTTTCTTGATAATAAAAATAAATTCTTTATTAACTTCCTTCTGTCCCTATACAGACAAAAGTCCCCAATTCAAAAATATGGAAGGAGCCGTCTTGATCTTTCTACCAGGCCTTGCACATATACAGCAGTTGTATGATCTCATTTTGACTGACAGAAGATTTGATCTAAGACAGAGGTAAGCAAATCATGGAAAACTAATGATAGATTCTAATTAAAACATACATTGTTGCATAGATTGAATTATGAGAAGATAGATGGGATTGCTAACTGAAAATAACAAATTTTAATTATTTAATATGCAATTACCCATCTAAACATCAAAATAGTTTTTACCATAATAGACATTTTTGGGTTTGTATGTAAACTAAATTATGTGAAAATTGATTGTCTACTTGTAAACATTTTCAGTTTTCTGAAACATTCTCAAGTAATGGATATATCAGTTCATATTGCTCATAACACAACTAGCAAGTATAAATATTAAAATAGCTATTAAAGGACATATTTTTATTGGCAGTGTTAAGTATTTCAATATAATATGTTTTGCATTTTTCTGGTATATAGCATTAATACAATGTACTGAATAATTAAATTATAAATCCAAATCTCATGCATATTGTCTGCTGAGATGTAGGCATTTTGTCTTACAAGTCAAAACAATACAATTAATTTTTTTGCATTATAATTTTTAGGCACCAGTTAATAGCATTGCATTCTATTCTGTCCACTCAAGAGCAAGCATCTGCATTTACATTGCCTCCTTCTGGTGTTAGAAAGGTAAGCTTGAGGTATTAATATATCTGAACTGATATCTTGCCCTGCGTCTCAAGATCCCTGATTTTTCTTTCAGCCTTTTTGTATCATGCGTGGTGCTTTTCATGTAATTTAAAGAAAGAGATTAAAGAGACAAAACTGAGTGTATCCCAAATGTTTCTAATGTGATATTATGGCCTAGGGCAGTAAAATGTCTTGATTGATATTGACCTGAAACCAGAAACAAAGATTTCTGAAAAGTCAATGAAGATCATATAAAATTAGGATGTATCTTAATAATATTCAATTTCAGTTAGGACTGTGGCTGTAGTATTTTAGTTTTTTAAATACATTTTTTATTTTATTTCCTAAGTTAAAATACAAGCTACAAAAGGGAAAAAAAGGAGCAGTAACAAAACAAAAATGTGCATAAAGACAAAAGATCAAACATACTTATAAGTATATTTCAACAAGTTACCTCTCTTGCAAAACAGGTCCACAATTTATGACCTTCTATAGCTTTATTTATCCAACCAATTTGACTTACCATATATCTACTGTAAAAAAAGAACAGTTAACAGGTAAACCCAATAGCAAAGCTAAACTTCAAAGCCCTTTGTTAACAATCTATTATTGTATTTAACTCGCATAAGGTCCACAAACGTCTTCTAATCTACCACATAAAACCACTGCAGTCATTATTTCTGATCCGTCCAATATCAGATATCCTTGATTGATTCTTAATAATAAAACTTTTCCTTAAAATTATAGCTGGGACCTTTCCAAACAATTGCATCTTATTCCCCAAACTCATAGATCTCTGTTGTGCCGTATTTTATGTTAAGTGAAATACTTAACATAAATATTCTTCAAGGATAATGTACTATTTATTCTATGATCCCTGATTTCAGGATATAGATTACCCTAAAGTGGCTTACTTTATTTTATTAATAAAAGAGTAAATGTTACAAATACATTGTAAGCATAATTAGAATCAGTTGTTTTGGATCTTAATTTTTGCTCATGTTCATAAAACAGACCTTTTCTCTCTTGTGTTTCTTTTACAGATTGTTTTGGCCACCAATATAGCTGAAACAGGTATTACTATACCTGATGTTGTTTTTGTAATTGATGCTGGAAGAACAAAGGAAAACAGGTGAAAACGCTTTCCACTAAAAAGGATCAGCTTTCATTAGAGATATATTGATTTTTTTTTCAATAGAGTTTTGGATGCATTAGAAGTTTTTTATTTTTTATGCAATAACTAGATATAATGTAGTACTATACTTTTTCTAGAATAGGATATTGTCCCGCAAAACAGTGTTTTATTAGATCAACTGAATTTTGAGGAATAAATAAACATGTACTCGTCAGAAACCTCATTGCTTATTTTGTTTCTTAAGTGCAAGCCGCTTTCTATAGGCCTTTTTTGTATTTTCTTTCTTTCCATTTAGGCAGTTATGGAAATTTGATCTGGCCTACTGCAGGTGGAATGGGTGGGAGAAATTAGGAACAGCATTTAAGTTTGTGCAAGAGGTTAATGGAAGAGATAACTGGAATTCTTCTGAAACTGGTTTCTTTTTCTGTTTGGTTGTAGATCCTATTAAAATAGGCATAGCTTTCTATGGTTGGTTAGCTAGGTTTTCAGAAGTACTCATTTATATAGAAGAAAATATAGTGTTCTATGTGGAGAGTAATTAAGTTTAGTATTAATAAATGTGCTAGACATTTCCTTAATATTTTCTTCAGGTACCATGAAAGTAGTCAGATGAGCTCATTGGAAGAGACTTTTGTCAGTAAAGCTAGTGCACTACAACGTCAGGGGCGAGCAGGGCGTGTCAGAGATGGATTTTGCTTTCGACTATATACCCGAGACAGGTAAAATTATTTTAATCATCAACGCATTCTATGTTAAAGGCAGAACCATTTGCTAAAACTATAGCACTTCTGTTATGACATTTAATTTACCTATTAAATTGTCTCACATATACTACTACAACATGCAAAGTTTATTAACCATATTATATTTCATTGGAAGATGAATAATCCTTTGCGAGAAACTACAGAACTTGCTCAATAGTAGTAACTGTGAGAGGGACCTCGGAGTCCTAGTGGACAATCACCTAAATATGAGCCAGCAGTATGCTGCAGCTGTCAAAAAGGCCAACACAGTGCTAGGCTGCATTAACAGAGGGATAGAATCAAGATCACGTGAAGTATTAATACCACTTTACAATGCCTTGGTAAGGCCACCCTTGGAATACTGCTTCCAGTATTTGGTCACCGCGATGTAAAAAAGATGTTGAGACTCTAGAAAGAGTTCAGAGAAGAGCAACAAAGATGATTAGGGGACTGGAGGCTAAAACATATAAGGAACGGTTGCTGGAATTGGGTATGTCTAGTTTAATGAAGAGAAGGACGAGAGGGGACATGATAGCAGTGTTCCAATATCTCAGGGGCTGCCACAAAGAAGAGGGAGTCAAGCTATTTTCCAAAGTGCCTGAAGGCAGGACAAGAAGCAACGGGTGGAAACTAAGCAAGGAGAGAAGCAACCTAGAACTAAGGAGAAATTTCCTGACAGTTAGAACAATTAACCAGTGGAACAATCTGTCTCCAGAAGCGGTGAATGCTCCAACACTGGACGTTTTTAAGAAGAGACTGGACAGCCATTGTCCAAAATGGTATAGGGTTTCCTGCCTGAGCAGGGGGTTGGACTAGATGACCTCCAAAGTCTCTTCCAACTTTACTACTGCTACTACTACTGCTATTACTACTACTACTACTACTACTACTACTACTACTACTAACTAAAGTAACCTGTATTGAGTTGAAGAATCCACCATCAAAGAAATGGTTGACAACTTAATGCAAATGAATAGTTCCCATTGTAGTGATAGATATTTATACATAACAGGTTCCATAATAAATATTGGAATGTAGCAACTTAAATCAGTTCTTTTGTTCTTTGCCTTATGGCTTTTGCAGATTTGAAAGTTTTCTAGAATATTCTGTTCCAGAAATATTGCGAGTTCCCTTGGAAGAACTGTGTCTTCACATCATGGTATGATATCTTGGCTTTAAATATTCATTATTTTGATTTACCAAGAAACTCTGAGAATCTGGCTAAGTGTATTGTTTGCAATTGTTTACCTTTCTAAACAAGAAAAATTCTTGCATGAAGTTGTAATCTCTTGGCAAAACTGCAAGAAAGTTTAGTCATACCTTAAATGCCCACATGATGTATGGAAATAAGGAAGAGGTGAAGGAATAGACCATTATGTAATGTCATATTTTCCATGCCCATTTGAAACAAAAGATATTTTGAATGGTGTGGGTTTTCATAAATGAAAAATAAATCAGTATTTATTAAATATTATGGCTTTTGTACAATGCACATATACACCACATGCAAGCATGAAACCCTGGCATAAATCTAAAGTTGCTAGATATGGAGATATGGTTTGAGAAACAGATATATGGGAAATGACTATGAATATTGCAAATTAGCTTTGCTTTTTCCTATCAAAACTGTTCACATAGTTCCAAGTTAGGACAAAGGTTGCTGTAGTTCAATCATATGAGGCCAGGATGTATAGCTGACTGAAGGAGGATAACAAATAGATCCTCTTCCTATAGCAAAATGCATAGAATCTATACAGTTAACTAAGTTACTTTGAAACCTGAAATAGAAAATCCCATCATACTGTATATTACATATGTTGTCTTATGGTAATAAACATGAAAATAAATAATTTAGAAGTAGTTAAAATGTGTGAATGAATGAGAGTTATATATCTTTTCAGGCTCATTCTATTTATTTATTTTTCTATCTATAGAAATGCAATCTTGGTTCTCCTGAAGAATTCCTCTCCAAGGCATTAGACCCACCTCAGTCTCAAATTGTTGCCAAAGCCATGTATCTTCTAAGGAAAATTGGGGCTTGTGAATTAAGTGAGCCCAAACTGACTCCTCTAGGCCAACATCTTGCAGCCTTGCCAGTAAATGTAAAGATTGGTAAAATGCTTATATTTGGTGCTATTTTTGGCTGCTTGGATCCAGTGGTAAGTTGATGGCTAACAATGGGCAGCCCATTACTTGCCCAGTGCTCATGAAATAAATGTTGATCTGAGAACCTATTCTATACAGGCTGGTAGGTTAGATACTGTTTATGGTATGTAAAATATTATTTCAGTTGATTCAGTGCGAAACTAATGCTCGTTGTTTCTTCTGGGATTTTTGAAATGCAGTGTCCTTTGAAGAAGAAAATATTGGCCTGTTTCCAAATCATTGTAAATGTCTGGTCACATTATTATGTCTCTATATTATTTTCATATAGAACTTTCCATCTTTGCTTTAAGATTTTAGATTCTGACAGTCCTTACCAAAAGTTTTGCAAATTTGCAGTATTGTGCCTTGTACATCCTAATAAGTGTTTGTAGCATCCAAAATAAAATGTCAAAATAGTATGAAACATCATGTGTGAGTGCTGAAATCTCATGCGGTTGTATAGGAATTGCAAGTCTCCAAAGAATTTTTTTTTCATGATAGTATCAGAAAATGTCACTAACTCTTTTCCAGAGCCCAGCATCTTACAGGTAGTTCTTGTGTAACAACCCTAATTGGAATCAGAAACTTTGCCACTGAGTGAAGTGGTCACTAAGTCACTAAGGAAATCATATGACCATGACTGCTTTCTGACTGGAAAGAGATAAAATTATTCAATTTCACAACTTCAGCTTTTCTTTGCCTCCTAACGACCACTTCTTGTGTGATCACATGGTTTTTGATGTGTAAACAGCTAATTTTCTTGCAATCCCTGTCTCTAATTTCTCTGCTTTGCAAAGCGGAAAAGAAAAAGAACCAGGTCAGGCACAGGACAATGCATACTGATTCTAATGACAATCACATGATTTAGGTATGTTATAAAGATCATAAATCAGCTGTAAGGTTATTTTTTTCAGCTCCATTGATTGGTAAGCAAGAGCTACCTCAATATGTGATTAAATGGTACAGTCCTATGATAGTGACCTTATTCTTTATTATAAAAAAAACTTTTTAATAAAAAAATCAGGAGTAAAAATATAAATGTTGCTGTACATTGTCATATTTTGTAGGCAACTCTTGCAGCTGTAATGACTGAAAAGTCTCCTTTTACTACCCCAATTGGAAGAAAAGATGAAGCAGACCTGGCAAAATCTTTTTTGGCATTGGCCAGTTCAGACCATTTGACAATTTACAAGGCATATCTGGGGTAATTGAAATGATTTTTCTTAGAATAATTTTTTTTTATTTATCTGTTTACTGCCACTATAATTTCATTCATTTTTCTTCCATTGCTTTCTTCCTCTACAATGATGATACATTCCAACCTGGAGAAGAATTTTGTTATGGTTAACTGCTTTCTCTACTCTGCTTTCTGTATCTTCTCTAGTTATTTAATAACTTGTCCTCTGAGATAAGTTTGAGTCATGATGACTTTAAGGGCACATATGTGAAGTTTACTTCAGTGGTCCCCAACCTTTGTGGCTTGGCCTGGCTGGAGGGAGGGAGATAGAAACTGGCCGTGCGAGTGTCAGGCTGGCACGCACACATTCAGTTCAACTAGCATGACATGCGGGCCGGCACATGAGTGCCCGGCGCTCACACAAGTTGAACTGAGCATGCATGCACGCTCCAGCCAGTCACTCGCACAACCCAATTCCAAATAAGCCATGGCCCAGCAGTGGGCTATATAGCCCAGGGGTTGGGAACCCCTGGTTTACTTAATGAAAAAGAAAACAGAAGTGGCTTCTTTCAAGGTGTTTTGGCTTCTCTTATTAATTTATAGTGCTGAGATTTCCTAGTACTCTTTTGTGCAAGTGTAACTAAGTTAAATTCTGTTCAGGTTATTTGAAATACCGTAGCAATAATATATATATAATTTATATATATATTGTCCATATATCTTTAATAGTGATGACTTCTTACATTAGAATAAAAAGATTTTCTTTTCTTTTATCTAGATGGAAGAAAGCCCGCTCTGAAGGAGGTTATCGTGCTGAAATGACTTATTGTAGGAGAAATTTTCTGAACAGAACTTCACTACTAACACTTGAGGTACTTTAATCCTTTTAATCTTTTTTTCTAATCTGCAAAAATCTCTATTCAATAATGAAGAATATTAATAACAGAACATCAGTTGGAAGGGACCTTGGAGGTCTTCTAATCCAACCTCCTTCTCAAGCAGGAAACCCTATACCATTTCAGATAAATGGTTGTCCAATCTCTTCTTAAAATCCTCCAGTGTTGGAGCACCTACAGCTTCTGGAGGCAAGTCGTTCCACTGATTAATTATTCCAACTCTCAGGAAATCTTTTAATCTTTTATGTAGTTTGTATTTTTAGCTTGTTTAAAACATTTGAAAATTAAATACCACTGATACCAATTCTCTTTGTTACCTACAGATGCAATGGCAAATAGGTGAGATGGAAATACAAATATCAATCATGAGATTCTGGATAGATGCTTTCTGCACTAATGGTTTTTGTGGCAGTATTAAGATTATAAATATATATGTAGTTACAGTGTGCTAAAGTGCAAGTGTATTAATAAAACACAATTATATAAATCTATTTTAGGATGTAAAACAGGAACTTATCAGAGTGGTTCAGGCAGCGGGGTTTGCTGCACCCTCATCTCGTCACGAAGGAATACATTCTTTGTCACTACAAGAAATGGTTCTCCTTAAAGCTGTGCTAACTGCAGGGCTGTATGACAATGTGGGGAAGATAATGTACACCAAGTCTGTGGATGTTACAGAGAAATTAGCATGCATGGCAGAGACGGCTCAGGGTAAAGCACAGGTGCACCCTTCTTCTGTAAACAGGGATCTGCAAACCTATGGATGGCTGCTATATCAAGAGAAAGTAAGCTAAATTAGATTTTTTTATTGTAGTGGTATGAAAATGCAGTATTATGTAGAGGTAGGATTTCTCCACATGGTTCAGGTGGGCATGCTTTATGGCTCTAAGTATGTTTGGCTTATTATAAAATCATTTCTGTTCTCCACTTCTATTACAGAGTTTCTGTTTAAGGGGACTGAAGTAAAGAGGACTTCTATGTTTGTTTTTTGGGGAGCCCTTATTTAAAGATGGATCCTGATAAGATTTAGATGTTGCACTAAGTAGATCCTTTTATCCAGGAATTACAGAGACTTGGATTGCTGTCTTTAGGCGTTCTGCTAGATTATTATTGTCAATGGAGGCTCAGTCATTATTGAAGTTAGCAAAGCCTTTCTCGCTTATGCAGTTGATTGGTGGCATCTAACCAGTCCGTATAAAAGTAGCCTGATCAACTATCAGACAGTGCTTGCTTCGAGATTGAATTATCATGAAGTGCTTTATGTGCAGATGCATTTTTGCATACTATTTTTATGTAAAACCTTTGTCCTGCAGTTGTTAAACTGATATATAGTTCCATAACTTCGTAGCTACCAATGCTACTTATTTAAAGCTTGCAAAACATTTAGACTATGCAAGTATATACTTTAAAAAGTACCTTTATTCTTGCACACACAATATTTTTGATAAGGACCTTGAGTATAATGCTTTTATAATCATATTTTCAAATAAATATAAAAATGAATTCCCTGGATAGAAAAATAATTGCTACATGAAAAACAACAAATTGATAAATCAAATGAATTGTATTTGTCTTTTCTATTCAGATTAGATATGCCAGAGTGTTCTTGAAAGAGACCAGCTTAATTTCCCCCTTTCCAATATTACTTTTTGGTGGAGATATAGAAGTGCTGCATCGTGAACGCCTTTTATCAGTTGATGGCTGGATCCATTTTCAGGTATATCTTATGTGTGAGTTAGGAAGCATTTTGTTACATCACTGAACTTTGTTTTCATTTAGTGTGCAAAGTCCACAGACAGATAAACTCTGATAGAAAGCAGATTACAAAGAAAATATATTTGTCATATTTATTGATAATAAGTGTTCTCAAACTTATTAGGCTTCTGCTCAGATTCTGTAAAGAAAAGAGAGCACAAATAACATTTTGGTCACTGGCTTGAATGTTTTCTCCATTCAGTTTGAAACATTGCTATTTCTGTGACATCTAACTTGTGGAACGATGACTTTAAGTACCTCCTGTTAAAATATTACTAATTAGCTCATACTGATCTGAATTGGATATACAGTGGGGCAAAAAAGTATTTAGTCAGCCACCAATTGTGCAAGTTCTCCCACTTAAAAAGATGAGAGAGGCCTGTAATTGTCATCATAGGTAGACCTCAACTATGAGAGACAAAATGAGAAAACAAATCCAGACAATCACCTTGTCTGATTTGGAAAGAATTTATTTGCAAATTATGGTGGAAAATAAGTATTTGGTCAATATCAAAAGTTAATCTCAATACTTTGTTATATATCCTTTGTTGGCAATGAGAGAGGTCAAACGTTTTCTGTAAGTCTTCACAAGGTTGGTACACACTGTTGCTGGTACGTTGGCCCATTCCTCCATGCAGATCTCTAGAGCAGTGATGTTTTGGGGCTGTCACTGGGCAACACGGACTTTCAACTCCCTCCAAAGGTTTTCTATGGGGTTGAGATCTGGAGACTGCCTAGGCCACTCCAGGACCTTGAAATGCTTCTTACAAAGCCACTCCTTCATTGCCCAGGTGGTGTGTTTGGGATCATTGTCATGCTGAAAGATCAGCCACGTTTCATCTTCAATGCCCTTGCTGATGGAAGGAGGTTTGCACTCAAAATCTCACGATACATGGCCCCATTCATTCTTTCCTGTACACGGATCAGTGGTCCTGGTCCCTTTGCAGAGAAACAGCCCCAAAGCATGATGTTGCCACCCCTATGCTTCACAATACGTATGGTGTTCGTTGGATGCAACTCAGCATTTTCTTTCCTCCAAACACGAGTTGTGTTTCTACCAAACAGTTCTAGTTTGGTTTCATCTGACCATAGGACATTCTCCCAATCCTCTTCTGGATCATCCAAATGCTCTCTAGCAAACTTCAGACAGGCCCAGACATGTACTGGCTTAAGTAGGGGGACACGTCTGGCACTGCAGGATCTGAGTCCCTGGCGGCGTAGTGTGTTACTGATGGTTGCCTTTGTTGCGTTGGTCTCAGCTCTCTGCAGGTCATTCACTAGGTTCCCCCAGTGTGGTTCTGGGATTTTTGCTCACCATTCTTGTGATCATGTTGACCCCATGGGGTAAGATCTTGCGTGGAGCCCCAAATCGAGGGAGATTATCAGTGGTCTTGTATGTCTTCCATTTTCTAATTATTGTTCCCACAGTTGATTTCTTCACACTAAGCTGCCTATTGCAGATTCAGTCTTCCCAGCCTGGTGCAGGTCTACAATTTTGTTTCTGGTGTCCTTCGACAGCTCTTTGGTCTTCACCATAGTGGAGTTTGGAGTGTGACTGTTTGAGGTTGTGGACAGGTATCTTTTATACTGATAACAAGTTCAAACAGGTGCCATTAATACAGGTAATGAGTGGAATACAGAGGAGTTTCTTAAAGAAGAAGTTACAGGTCTGTGAGAGCCAGAAAACTTGCTTGTTTGTAGGTGACCAAATACTTATTTTCCACCATAATTTGCAAATAAATTCTTTCCAAATCAGATAATGTGATTGTCTGGATTTGTTTTCTCATTTTGTCTCTCATAGTTGAGGTCTACCTATGATGACAATTACAGGCCTCTCTCATCTTTTTAAGTGGGAGAACTTGCACAATTGGTAGCTGACTAAATACTTTTTTGCCCTACTGTAACAGGAAACACATTTAACAACCAATCCCATATTGGTTATAAAATAGAATGAGTTCTAACACTGAAATTCTTGACTCCTTCCTAATATTGCTAACCCTAATTTCAAGCAGCATCATTACATCTCTCCAGGCCAGTGTGTTCCAAAATTTGTCTCAATGTCATAGTCATTAAACTTGTTTTAATCTTAATAATTATTAATAAAATAAGTAATTTGACATTACTTATTTTCACAGGCCCCTGTAAAAATTGCAGTAATTTTCAAGCAACTGAGAGCGCTCATTGAGTCTGTTTTAAAGCAAAAGCTTGAAAACCCTAAAATGACCCTTGAAGGTAATTTTATTGTTTCTATGTTGCCATGAAAAAATTGAATATATATGTAAGATATATGGGAAAACTGTCTGCGTTCTTGCTGAAAAGTATTCGTATGGCAGATGCTTAATTTCTACAAAACACATAAGTTACCATCGAGGATAGCTGTAGCTATTTATCAGATGCAGTCATTACTTTTTACTAGTAAGATCTTCAGTGAGTCGCATCAGTGCACTATTTTTACTCAATTTTGGAGGGAGAAGTTAAAGTTTTTCAATGTCTGGAAACTAAATGAGAATTCAGTAGTAAAGACAGTGGCAGCGAGTTCTAAAGAAATAACCATTTCCATATAATGGGTCACTGATTATGAAACTACGAGATAGAGAAAAAAACCCTCTGAGCCTATGGTTTGTCTCTTTAATTAAGTTGTGTGGAACAGCTTAACTATGCCAGCACTGGAGATGCTAACTTTTTCTTATTTATAATTTCTGACTTCTGTGCATCTTTTGCCAGGTACAGTGCATCTGGCCATTTGACAATACATCCATGAAAATTTTGAGTGATGAGAAGAATTAAGTTTATTCTTTCTTAACACTGTTATTTTTCTAGATGACAAAATTTTGAACATCATCAAAGAACTGATAAAAACAGAAAACGCTGTCTGATAGTTCAAAGCCACAGAAGTTGGAAGAAGAAAAATATGACTGAAGAATGTGCTTGTTTAAAGAAAACAATGCAATCAGCATTAGGATGCTGAACCTTCCACATACATTCTGTCATTATTCTGCAAGAAATAAGATTGCCTTGTAAAACTGATAATAAAAACTCTTGAACAGTGGGTATTCAAATTTAAATAATGGCAACCATGGAGATGGTTTCAGTATAAAAATGAGAATTGTTTTTTTATTTTGTCATAAAGCATATCTTGATTATGCTTTCAGTTGTAAGATTTCAGCATAGATTTCTGTTCTTTTAAAGAAAGTACACAATTGAGGAACCAGAATCTTTCTTTGCCAAAATGCATGAATAGATTAGATAATTATTAAGCAAAATTTTATCTGTGTCATTCTAAGAATTTTTTTATTTTCATTCATTACCCAAATGATTACTTGCAAAAGACATAGTACAGATTAGTAGTGCCAGGAGATATGTGTCTTTGGTATTTCTAAATGTTTGATGTACAAATATTTGCTTGAAGACCCAGATTGTTTTTAGTATGCATGCTTCTATAGATTGAGATTCTCTGTTTGAATTCAGTATTATAAAACTAGAAGAAATATTACATCTTTTTTTTAAAAGGCAACATACCACCTCAAATATTTAGAAACTTTCTTCTTTATATAAAGAAACTATATAGAAAAAGAAAAATTATGCATACCACCTTTTATATGCCTTTTTGTACACATACGTCTCATAGGAGTTTCAACTTGATTCATACTCAAAACACGTTTGCTTTCCTCTATCATATATAATGCTATTTTCACTTTAAAATTTGCAACACATCTTAGCATCAGGCACAAAATTTAAAACTAAAACAGGCGAATAAATATCTTACACTCAGCTGAGTTTCTACAAATTATTGTCCAAATAAAGAACCTAAGTGTGCAACGACACCACATTGTGTTCCACCAACCATAATTGGTGTTATCAAATTTGATGTATTAAAAATACTGTGTCCTATATGAACTGAAACTTATCAAGTGATGAAAGAATCAAGCTAGTTAAGAAATGTAAAGTCATGTACTTCAATATGAGTATAATTTTAATATTAAAAATAAAAATCATTCCTATTTAGATATTATCCTTAATAAATTGTGATGTCAGATTAGGATTTCACTTTTTTCTTAGTATTTAAGATCAATTAGAGCAAAGTGTTTTATTACAAATGTACATACTGTAAAAAGGCTTTAGAAATTTGTTTAATACTATATAATAAAAATGTGATGCTTTCTTTTCATCAACTAAAACTTTTGCCTCACTTACTTAGATGAGCTCTTGTTAATCTTAATCCTGAATTTTTATACAATTGAGTCAGTTCTTAAAATAAGAAGTCTTTGAAGACTTTGAAATACTAAAGTACTTTTTGTAAGCAGCTTGCAGATTTCAGTATTTCTTAGCAACTGATCTTTCCTGATAAAGAAACTACAGTTCTGTTGATATGCCTGAAAAGGATGAAAATCTTACAAAGATTTTACACTTGCCTTGATGTCAATTTTAAAGGAAAAAACTAATTCTCAAATCTCAAAAAGCTAAAAGGCAAATCTGATTAGTAGTATTATATAAGACTGTACACTGGCACAGCATCTTCATTCTCAGTTTCAATTGCATTTTTGCTTATTCTTATGAAAAACGTGCTGAGAATAATGACTTGGCATATGCTTGGAGAAGGAAAATGGAATTTTGGGGGAAATTGTAAAAAATGATAGACTAGGTACACAGAAGATAATTCAGAATTATAAGCAAGATAACTGTAACCAAGACAAAAAGGACAAGTATATAAAAAAGAGAGCCAGATAATTAGAATAATACCACTAAACTGTCCAAATTTGCAAGAACCAAGTCAAGAAAGCTATAGCTCAGAATGAACTAACACTTGCAACAAATGCCAAAAATACAAGTTCAATGTGTAAGGAACAAGAAGGAAATCAAGGGAATGATCAGGCCATTAATGGGAGAATATGGCAAGAAGGTGATGGGCTGCAGGGAGAAAGTAGAACTACTTAATTCCTTCTCGGTATCTGTCTTCACGCGGAAAGGAAAAATAGTCCAACCTACCAAAAGCAAGACGGAAGCAGCAGGAATGCAGATCAAAATAGGCATGAGAACACGAATCCACTCTATATGGGTTCAAATCATCAGGAGCAGATGGTTTACATCCCAGGGTTAAGGAGCTGATAGATGTTCTCTTGGAACCACTGAACAGAACCTTAGAGGAACTGCCAGAGGTCTGGAAAAGATCTGATATTCCAATTTTCAACAAGAGGAAAAAGGAGGATCCAGGAAACTACAGACCAACCAGTTTGATATTGATACTGGGAAAATCCTGGAAAAGATAATCAGGTGGTGGATTTGGGAGCACTTAGCAACAAGTAAGACAATTACTAGAAGCCAGCATGGGTTTGTTAAAAACATATCAGACAAAATTTATTAAAAGTAGCAGATTGGAGAAATGCTGTGGATTTTAGTAAGCTATTTGACTGACCATAGTTTATTAGTAAGATACTACCACCAAATGGATTCACAGTTGACTGATCACATTCAGTGTGTAGTTCTCAATGGAGAGAAGCATGGGGTACCTCAAGGTTTTGTACTGAGACCAGCACTCTTCATAAATGATCTAGATGATACAAATATGGTTATTGTCCTTTATCAGACAAGTCAATTTTGCCATCTCTGCTAATTTTATTTAAGTAATTTATTTAGATGCTGTCCCTATTGCTATCCAAAGCAATTCTGGGCAGTTTGATTCTACAGTATAATCTTCAACAGCCATTCCTCCACTATGGGTGTTTCAGTCTTTTCATTTCTGTCTATATAATAATTTTGCAGCAATTATCATACCTCCCATAACTCTTTTCTAATTGTCCATCCAGTTCTGATTTCAATTGAATATCAATCTTTCAAATTCTTTGTATCACTGTATTTGAACCCAAAATGTTCTGGCTTTTTAAAAAGTCTAACGCAAATCTGAAGTTCTTTATACATTATAAATATTTTATGGAGTCAGGTATCAATAATACATCATTTTATAAAAATTCTCTTTTAGGTTATAATTTCAGTCCTTTTGGCCACATATTTTTCCACTGATCCATCAGTGCATTTTATCCAAAGTTCTTTACCCATTTTAACATACACTCTTTCACTTATTCTTCCACTTCACATTTCAACAAAAGTTTATATAGTTTAGCAATTACATGTTCATCATTTGCAGAGTTCAATTTCAGATTCTGCCTTGTGCTGTTCAGTTTCAAACGTCCTGTTATCTATCTTAAAACTATGCATATGAAAACTATTTAAAGCTAAGTCCTTCTGCAGTCAACTGATCTCTTCAATTCATCTTGCATTCTCCATGGTCTTGTTCTAACTGTTCCCAATATGTTAATCATCTCTCTTTGCCCGCTATTTCTCTTCTATAAAATGTTTCTTGTACTGAGACCCATAAGGCATTTTCTGGTACAATCTGGGTTTATATCTATTCAATACTGTTAATATGACACTTTTAATATAGTGATTTTTAAAATCCACATTAATCTTACAGTAGACCAAATTGGGTTTCAGAGAGAAGCTGGAGCTGTTCCTGCAGTTTGCTATACAGTCTGACCAAAGCCTATAAAGCACATTGTGAAATAGAGGATGACGGCCCACAATTTATATGGCTTTAAAGAAAAATTAAGGGTTGAAGGGAGTTTGGAAATTTATATAATGCAGAAATCCAAGAATTGGTAAGGATAAGGCTAGGCTTATAGCTACCATATATGTTACCTCTAGGATGTGTCTTTCTCAGGGTCAGCTGCTAGAGAGGATACTGTTGGGCGGATGTCTTACTGCCAACTTCCCCAAAGCCTCTGGTGATTGGTTACTGTGGAGAGGATAACTATAGTAGTTGGGCTCAGTGCTCTACATCTTAAGTAACTTTTTCCTATGTTCTTAACATGAATGTTTGTGATTTCAAAACATATTTTGTTTCAGGAAGTTGCCAGTAGTGTATGTGTTGAAATATGTATTGATTTACAAGAAGGGCTTTTTTTACTGCCATTTATAGTTTTAAGTTCCTTGTATTAAAAAAAAAACATTTTAGCAGCCATTCTAATTTTGTTCTTTTAGGCAGCCTTAAGCTATTTTATTAATCTAACCATTTCGTATTTCAAGAAATACTCTTTTCAAGATACAAACTTCCAATAGTAAATCCATTCTTCCTAACCTGGTGTCCTCTAGATGGTAGATATTTGGCTTACCAGTATTTCTATTTTGTACAACTAGAGAATCCAGGCTGATAATAGAAATCAGAGATGTCCCCAAACAGAATTGTCTTAGCTTCACTCCTTCTGCTAAACTATTGTGTTTTTAGGTTTGATTTAGCAATGTGTAAATTCAAGCTTTGATTATAAAATAAAGAGTTTGGCCATTTTGTATTTGGTATACATTCTAGCAGCTGTTTGTTCAAGAAGGAATGGCACAAAAGGCCATGGCTTAGTGTAAAGGGTGAATGTGCTCAACATGTCAGTTTTATAGTAATTCATACAAGGTGTATGTATGTGTAGGTGGTCGTCAATCTCGGTTTAATAATCGTTCTAGCTAAGCCATCCAAAAACAGTAGGCCCGCTGTGGCTCGACAGTTAGATTGGCGAAGGAGGAAGATGGCGCCTTTCTTCACCGCCTCCCGGCTCTCTTGTTCGCACTGGAGGGACACATTCTGCCCGCCGGTTTCCAGAAAACAAGGGCTTTTGAATCAGGCTATAGACGTAAAGGCAGGGGAATCTAAAGCAAAAGAGGGCCTTAAAAAAAAAAAAACCCTCCAAAGTTTTCATGAGACTGGAGGGCTCATCTCTAGGTCCTTCGACCGTCTCGACGGCAGATAAAATGGCAGGCGCCCCTTCAGAACGACAAGTGTCGCCTCCCAGGGCGAGGTAGGGAGCCAACACACGCGCGCCGAGGCCGAGAGACCTGCTCCTGCCGCTCAGAAACCCCAGGGCGCCTTGCGAGAGCGGTTCTTTAGCCGGGAAAGCCGGCGAGGCGACGGAAGAATGCCTCCCCGGCGGGCGGGCGGGCGCAGGGGCGGGGCAGCGCTGCCGAACATATAGCCGACCCCGCGCCTCTCGCCTCGGCGCTGCCCGAGAGGCAGCCAGGAGCGCGGAGCCGCAGGATGGTCATCACACGGATTAGCCAGGAGCGCGTCGCGGCTGCGGCTCCCAGCGGCCGGCCAGACCCTCCGCTCAAGCGGCAGCGGCACGAGGACGTGACCCCCGAGGAGCGGCCTGAGCCCCCGGGCGGCGGCGGCACCGTGGCCGGCCGCCAGCTCCGCGCGCCGGTGAAGAAAAGTAAGCCGCCTCCGGTGGGTCGGCTTCGCAGCCGCGGCGAACCCATGCGCCCTCTGGAGCGCCAGATCTTCCGCGACTATGGGCAGAGCTGGTACCGTTTCCGAAAGGAGCTGGAGGGCAAGTTCCACCCGCTTGATCCGCTGGCACAGCAGCCACAAGTAAGGAGAGAAAGGCGGTCCGAGGAAACGAAATCAGGTCGCTGTCCAACCTGGTCCGCCCTTCGGCCCAGAAGGAGGTCGCGATTCTTCTTTTTCATGTGCCCACGAAAAGCCTGGGCAGAGTTTCCCCCGGGCCAAAGTGAACCTCCGCTCTCTCCGCTCTCGTCTTCCCCCTTTCCCGATAGGGCTTTTCCAGAGTTAAGTTTATTCCGTGAGGAGGCACATGCAGGTTCCCCTAGGGTGGAGGATTCAGAGTCACTTATTGAACCAAGTCAGAAGAAACACACACAAATACACACCCTTAGACTTTTGACACAACACAGTCCTGGTAGGAAAACGCTATGTTTTGTTTTGGATGCTCCATCTCTTTCCTTCACAGAATGCAATTTTGTTTAGGGAGAAACCTTGAAGTGCCTCACCTGCACCTGCACCAAAATAGGAATCCAAACACAGACAAATTTTGGTGCATGCAATCATTCTTAAAAGAGCTGCTTCTGGGACATTTGAAAATTTGGATTAGAGGCTGAATGGCTAGAGCTGATCAATGAGATGGGGCAGGATCTGAGCTTGAACTTTATTTTAGATGTGATGTGGGGAGGATTGCCAGATGTGCATCATATTTTGGCTCAGATATATGCTTTATTAATTGCTTCCATTGTTATACACATGTATTCTTGGAATTTTGAGTACGCATTTGCATTATAGCCTGAACATAGTTGTCCGGTATGCTGCACTTATGCTCTAATAATACTGCTTTACAATGGG